GGGGCTTTTTGGGGGGTCCCTTGTTTTTTTGGGGGGGGCCACTCGGGAACTTGAGACCTGTTGGGGGCTTCTGGGGAGAGCCTGGGAATTCTCGGGGGCCTCTTGGGGCATCGTCTTCCCCCTTTTGGGATTCTGTTGGGGCTGTCGTGGGGCCTCCTGGGCTCGTCCTGGGCGCCTCTTGGGCCGTCTTGAGGCTGTCTTGGGGCGTCCTGGGACTGTCGTTGGGACTTCTTGTGCCTCCTCTGGGCGGTTTCGGGGGTCACTGGTGCCGTCATGGAGCGTCAGGAAGCCGAGAAAGCGAAAACGGCAAAATCCTTCAAAAATCATAGAAAATTGAAGGATATTTCTCTCGGAGGCTTCTTGGGACGCCTCTCTGAGGCCTCTTGGGACCTCTTGGGAGCCTCTTGGCCCGTCTGTGGTCCCTCTGTGAACGCTCGTGGGCCGTCATGGAGCGGTCTTGGGCCGTCTTGGGTCTCCTTGGGACTGTCCGGGAAGCGTTCGTAGACCGGGCCGAGCGGCGTAGGGTGGCCTGGAGGGGATCCGAATCCGAACATTCGACTTTCTCGTCCGGGGGGCCGTATTTATGTACGGGGGGGGGGGGTAGGGGGGGGGGTCCTTATAAGAATATTCGAGAAGAAGTATATGTATATATCTATCAGCTGGTACCGGATTTCATTCTGAAAACAAACCCTCACCTCCTCCCATTTGACGAAGCATGAACAAATAGAATACGAGCGGCTCCAATAGCACGTTAACCGCGGCGGCAACTGTTTACGCTGACTCTCGACGCACCTGAATCGGACCCGATTTGTTTGTACTCTACACGTCCCCACTCAAAGGCAAGGAGTTTTCTGGAGCACCTCATTCCATGTTCTGGGGGTCTTCTACCCCGACAAGCGAAGCTGTTTGGACAACACACCCAGGGGAGGAATCGAACTGGACATTGGACAGGGCTGCTGTGTAGAAGCCACGGGCCGCTTATGGTAAACGCCAGATGTGGGGGTCGAAGTTTGTTGTCCTCCCTTGTTTCTCGGAGTCTCATGGGGCTCCTCGGGGGGCTCTTTCCGTGAGATGCTCATGCTGGGGACCTTTCTGGAGACACTCGCTCCACTGGTGCGTCGAGGCTGCGTCGCACGTCCGTCGATTTGAGCCAGAGTTGAGTCGAACCTGAATCGAACCTGCGTCGAACCTGAGTCGAACTTGAGTCGAACTTGTGTCGCACTGGGGTCGAACTAGAGTCGAACAGATCCGTCAGGTGGGCCCCGGGAAGGTCCCCCAAACGAGCATCTGATTTCCGAGCTCCAGGGTCGGCCGAGGAACGCCCGGAGAAGCGCGCCTCAGACTTGGCCGACTGCGGCCGACGGGGGGTCATTGCACCGCCTCCCGCACGAAGCACTGGGGCTTCCGCTCTTGCCTACAGGCGGATTTTGGATGATAAATAACAGAAGCACTAAAAAGCACACCAAAAATGCTCCAAAATGGTGAACAAATCTTCCCCATGTTATTTTTTGACTATTTGGGAATGTGCCTCCTGTAGAATGACAGGGCCGACTTCAGCCGGGTATCGAATGGCGTCATGTAGGGTCCCTTTTGGTTAACCCCGAAGGGTCTTCAGACCCCCCCAGTAAGGTGCAATCTTGTTTCGGCGGCCTTATTCACGGATATGGTGCTCCACCAATCGAGACCACTAGTCTTGGTTTCCCCGCGGCACCCGCCAGCAGCTACGACTACGTATGCAACCGCGGTTACCACGACTACTAGTTAGTCATTATGCCTCAGGAGCGCTCTCATGGAAAATCTTGGTTCAGAAACTTGGTCACCAGAAGTCCCATCAGCCCTCTGAGCGTCGGTGGTTTAGGGCGTTTCCTCTTTCACCCCTCCTTCTTCCCCTTCGGGGAGGGGTTTACCCCAAGATGACCTCCAAGATGGCTCAAGATATCCCAAGATGTCTTATAATGGCTTCCTCTGTGTGCTGCCCACTTTCGTGATCCAGGCAATTCCTCTGGGCATCGTTTCTGGATGGGCTGGTGGGGATTCGCGAAGCGTCAACAATTTGTCCTGAAACAATCATCCTGAGAAGGACTGTTGAAGCTCAGGCCACGCGCGGGCCCTCAGAAACTCCATCCTCTGAAGTTTCATCCTCAGAAGCTTTATCCTCAGAAAGACTGTTGAAGCTCAGGCCCCACGAAACACACGTGCATTGCAATCCTCAAAAAAGATGCTCACACATTTTCCGGGTGACCCACAACCTGGAAAAGTCCCCCCCCCACATTATCCAGCCCGCCCAACAATAGAGGGAAACTGATCCCATGTCGCCGCCCGCGCCGAGAGAGGTCTTTGAAAGGGGGGGTCTCAAACTAAAAGCCTTCCGAGCTTCCTATTCGGGATAAAACCCACGACCGCCCACTCCCCTCCTGGTCACATCACGATTCGCGCCCACGCCGTCTCGGAATGAGCCCCTCTGGAACATTCCCGACCGGCGCCGGCGCGAATCGTGACGTGACTGGCCCCTTACCCCCCCCTCCCAACCCTCCGGTTGCGCCTGTTATCGCCAGGGACAAAAAGCCTAGGGCGGAGGATAGATGGTGTACCCCCCGCTGGTTGGGGTTGGCTTAATGTTGAAGGGGAACTGGGACACACAAATAAATACACACAAATGAAAAAAAATCCCCATATTTTCAAATATTTTCTTGGTTTTGGTCTTCCCCCCCCACTTCCCATATTTTCCCATATTTTCTGGGAATCGCCGATTAATTGTGTCTGTGTTTTTTCCCCACCTGAAATGTGTCCATCTCTGGTGCCTTGAAAGGCTTGTGCTGCCCTTCGGCGCCCACCCCGTCCCGCCCACACAGGGGCTTCGCACCCCACTCGGCAGGTGGGCTGCCTTGCCGCTCGGCGTGCATGGCGCTGCCCCACTCGGGCGGCGGCGCCCACATGGACTACGCCCCCCGCGCGCGCCACGACTGAATCCTGTGCACCGTGCTGCGCCGGCTCGAACGGCAGCGGCTGGCGGGCACAATCCGCGGGCGCACCGGTTCGGACGGCAGCGGCTGGCGGGCCCGCCGGGCGGCCGCCGCCGCGCCCCCGGGGCGGCCGTGGGCGGAGGGGCGCGGCCTGCCGCAGCGAGGCGCAGCCGAGGCCGCCGGGGCCCTTGCCGGGGGGGCGGCGCCTGGCCGCCGCACGTGGCCTCGCGGGGTCCCGGCCGGGCCGCCGGCCCCCACGGCGCTGCGGCGCGGCGGCTCCGCGCGGGCGGGTGCTGGCGGCCCGGCCATGCCCTGGCTGGGCCGTCTCGCTGCCGCCTCGCGCCGCTGCGCTGGTGCCGGCGCCTGCGGGGGGGGCCGGGGGGCCCGAAGCGGCGCGGCGCGCCGCGCTGCGCCGGCGGCCAGGGGCGCTGGCTCGGCCGCCCGACTTGGGGCTGAGTCGTGCAGCAGCTCGAGGCTGAGCTGCTCCGTCTGTTCCCCCCCCTCCCTCCCTCCCCCCCTCCCTCCCCTCCTCGCCACAGGGCCTCTCCGCGCTTGCAGCAAAAGTGTGTCCCCCCCCCCTCCCTCCCCCATCCATTTCCCCTCCTCGCCACAGGGCCTCTCCGCGCTTGCAGCAAATGTGTGCGCCGTGCTGCACCCGGTGGCGTCTCCCGAGGAGTCGCCAGTCCTCCAGCCAGAAGTGGTGCGGCGTCTGTAGTTCTTCGACCCTCGGGGCCGAAGAGCAGTGCCCCGTGCTGCGCTGGTGCGGGGCCTGAGAAGAGTCCAGACATGGCATGGTGCACCTGCGCCGTTTTCGAATACGGATCCGTGGATCTGGCGCGCGAGCGCCAGACCCAATGCGTGGCGCAGACGGTCCACGAACCACGAACGACGAAGCACGACCAAGCAAAAGAGCACGAGCCAAGGACCAAGAACCCGCAAGCCATGAACCACCAAACACGCCACGAGTTGCGCAACACGGGCTGGAACAGCAGGCCTTGCGACACGAGCCGAGATCCACGAACTTCGAGCCACGACCTAACATTCACACGCCAACGTTCACAAACCACGACACACACAGAGCCGGAATCTACGCCATCAACCACGAAGCACAGAACCTGAGACCACCCCGAACCCCAGAAACGAGACGCGAACTACTGTGAGACGCTAGCCACGGAATACGCCACACATCGCCGACCATGCGCCGTCGAGGAGGAGGAGGAGGAGGAGGAGGAGGAGGAGGAGGAGGAGGAGGAGGGGAGGGGAAGGAGGAGAGAAGAGGAGGAGGAGGAGGAGGAGGAGGAGGAGGAGGAGGAGGAGGAGGAGGAGGAGGGGGGGGAGGAGGAGGGGGAGGAGGAGAGAGACCCTCGGAGAAGCCCTCCACTTCCAGACCGCAGCTGTCGCAGAGAACCAGCGCAGCATCTTTCCTCCGTCGCGGGAATGACGAGGCCTCTCGTGGTCCGCACCCTCAAAAGCACAGAGGCGGCCTGAACGGCAGGCGACTACGTGCGGGCAGGCCCTCAACACCAAAATGAAGAGACCATGTGCGCGAGGCGAAATTCGGCGGCGAGCCGGGGAGGGAGGGAGAAAGAAACGACCTCCTCAGAAGGCTTGAAATCCCCCAGCCTTCTGACAAGCTTTCTGCGCCTTCCCCAAAGGCACGGAAGGCTTCTCGGAAGGCGCGTGGGCTTCCGAGAAGTCCCGCCGCCTTCCGAAAAGGCCTCCTTCTTCTCATTTCCCCCCTCCCTCGCCGCCGCGAAATAGAAGATGAAACGACCGCACAGACACAAACTTTCGGCGCTCCGCGCGGAACTCTCGGAATCGGCGCTGGATCCCCCTCCCGTCGCGCGTCCGGCGCGCCGCGGGCGGGCGCCGCGGGCGCGCGCCCAGAAGGAGGGCCACAGCGCCGACTCCGAGCAGCCCGCACAGACCGGCGAGCGTCTTTGTGGTCGTGCCGTGTTTGCACCCTCGGAAGCGCTGTGCGACCAGCAGCGGGGGCTCGTGCGGATCACGCGCGCGAGGCCCAAGAAGCCCGAAGACTCAGCCGATTCGATCGCGGTAGCTCACGGGGACGTGGGTGGACTTCAGGCGCGGCACCTGCAGCCCCAGCCGCTTGTAGTCCTCGTCGTAGAGCTGGGCGACGACCTGCACTGTCGAGGCGTTTCTGTAGAACTCGTCCAGCCTGTTGTGCGAGTGCGACCAGTGCTGCGAGCTCTTCCTGGCCGACACGTCGTGGGTGAAGTACGTGTCTATCAGCGCGCTGGCGTTCGGGTAGGCCTCCAGCACCCCGGTGGCCTCGAACATGCGCCGGACCTGAACGCCCGCATCCTCGTCGATGCTCCCCTTGAAGTCAACGATGTCCGGGTGGAACCTGTCGATGCCGCAGGCGCGCAGATTCTTGATCATCGGGAACCAGTGCGAGTTGTTCGCAGACGTCCCCTTGAGGGCGTCGGCCCGCACGCGATCCTCAAAGGCCTCGACCATCCCCTCCATCGTCATCGCGGCCCAGTGGATGGTGCCGAGGCAATCCTTCCCGCCCCCCTCGACGACGCCGTTGTTGGCATTGACCATGCACTTCGACCCGAAGGCGGAGAGGTAGCGCGCCAGGGGATCGCGGTAGAGGAACGCGAACTTCCAGCCGTTCTCCTTCGTCACCGAGTCCCAGTTGACGTGGAGCTTCGCGGGGCCAGAGTAGTCCCATGGAGCCTGCTTCCAGGCGTCGCCGCTGACGCCATTGAGGTCGCCGAAGAGCCTGGCGATCTCGGTGGATGCCACCTTTGGCATGTAGCAGAAGGCGAGCTTGGCCTTCGGCAGGAGGATGCGCGCCCTCAGGTGGGCAGCAAACCGCTGGCCGCCCTTCGCCTGGTGGAGGGGCAAAGCGGAGCAAGAGCTGGGAACGCGCTAGTTCGCTAACTGCTAACCCGCCCCGGCCATGGCCACGTTGCGAGCCTGGGTCGGCCCCGAAGCGGCCCCCCCCAACTCGGGGTCAGCAGAGGGCGGGGAAGGGGGGATCGGCCCCACGCGGCGCGGCGGACTTCGGAAACCCTGAGCCCCCCCAAAACGCTTCCGTCTCCCAAATTCTTCCACTTCTTCCAAAATTCTGTTTTACTTCCAAAATTCTTTCAAATTTCGAAAAATTCCGCTTCTTCCAAAATTACTCCAGATTTCGTAATAAAGGGAGGGGGGTCTCATTTCGGGGGGGTCTCTTCTAGGCTATCTTGGAGGGCCTGGGGGGTCTGGGGACGATGTTCTGGAGGCTTCTCCCACGGGGGAGGTCTGACATGGCTTGTCTTGGAGGGTCCAGACCCCCTCCCTTTTATTACGAAATCTGGAGCACCCTGGGCGCATATTTTAATTACTTCTTCCAAAATTCCGCCGCCCCCTCCGCTGGCGGAGAGCCGCCCTCGTTCTGCCCCCGCCGGCCTTCCCCGCCGCGAGAGAGATGTGGAGGCGCCCTCGATCCCCGAGGGCAGGGCCCTCCCTGGAGCGCCCCGCGTGTGGCTCCCAGATCTGGCGGCGCGCACAAGGGGGTGGGGGGAGGGGGGAGGGCTTCTTAGAAGCAGGCTGCTTCTTAGAAGGCGCCGGCCTTACATCTATAGATAAGGCCCGCGCCTTCTAAGAAGCAGGGGTGCTTCTAAGAAGCCCTCCCCCATCCCCCCACCCCCCTCTGCGCGTGGCTGACAGATCCCGAGCGGCGAACGCGTGCGCCCTCGCGGTGTGGACTCCCGGGCGGGCTCCCGTGGAGAACCGCACGGTCGCATGGTGGGCGTTATTTTTTTGATTCGGCGTTTCGACGTTGGGCGGAAGGGGGGGGGGGTCTGGCTCCAGACCTCTGCTTAGTGCGACTGTTTGCAACAGTGCGTCCTAAGTATGGGGGAGACCCCGCCTGCTCGAAACAGGCGCCTGAAGTAGAAGAAGAAGAACAAACACAAAACCATAAACTTTTGGCGCTCCGCGCGGATTTCTCGGATTCGCGCTGGACCGCCCTCCCTGGCGCGCGGAGCGCGCCAAGGGGCGGCGCCAGAGGCGCCGCCGGGGGGCCCAGGCGTGGATCCAAGAAGTCCGCGCGGAGCGCCAAAAGTTGATGTTCATGTCGCCTCTCCTTCTTCGAGAGAAAACAACCAAGATCCACTCCAGGGGGAGTCGGGGATCTTCTGACCCGGCTCAATCCGGACCCGGGTCAGCAGGAAACCAAAAACTGCAGTGCAGGAACAAAAAAACTACTGCACCGCAGGTCTTCGCAGACCCGGGGTCAGCCAATAGGCGCGGCCGCCTCGCGGCCACGGGCAGGCTCCCTGACCGGGGTCAGCCAGAGGGGGTCTTCGCAGGATCCCGCAGGATCTGGCGCCCTGGCTCACCCCCGTCTGTATTGACCCCCGTCTCGAGGCTCCCGAGGGAGGGGGAGGAGGCCGACGGCCGGTCGGCGAGGCCAGCAGGCCGCCCAGGTGGGGCCAGAGTCAGACTGCACGTGCGGGAGGAGGAGGAGGAGGAAGAGGAGGAGGAGGAGGAGGAGGAGGAGGAGGAGGAGGAGGAGGAGGAGGGGAGGAGGGGGAGGAGGAGGAAAGGGAGGGGGGGGAGGAGGAGGAAAGGGAGGAGGAGGAGGAAAGGGGAGGAGGGGGAGGAGGAGGAGGAGGAGGGGGAGGAGGAGGGGGAGGAGGAGGGCCCGAGGGCCCGCGCCGAGCGGCAAAACAAGCAGTGCATAGCAGAAACGATCCCGCGGACGCGCTCGCGCGGGGCAGCCCCGACGAGAACGCGCCCCGCGGCCCACGCGGCCGCGGCGCGAGGTCCTGGCGCCCGATCAGGCTACCTACCAGACCGCCCCAACCCAACCCGAAGACCCGACTTCGCTTCGGCCCGAGTTTCGGGTTGGGGGGGGGGGTACGGGTTCCATGTGTTTTTTCCATGTTCCCCGACCCCCCCCCCCTGGAGATCGAGGGTAAGTTTGGGCCTTCGGGTTTGGCTGGGGTGGTTTGGTGGGTGGTGACGATCTGAGGTTTGGGGGGGAAGGTGGGCTCGCAGTGGAACGGAGGGCCCCCCGCTGGGCAAGTGAGCGTTTGCTTCTTCGGCGTGTCGACATCGACCAGGATCGTGAGGCGAGGCCAAGAGTTCGAGGCGAGTCCAGCGTGGCAACAAAAAGGCCTCCCAGGAAGCCCCGAAGGATGAGGGAGAACGGGGGGAGGGTAGCGGTATGGGTACATACCTTCTCCCCCTCCCCCGACCTCCGACGTCATGATTTTGTCATGGTGGGCGTAACTTTTTTTGCGGCGTTTCGACATTGGGCGGGGGGGGGGTCTGGCTCCAGACCTCTGCTTAGTGCGACTCGTGCTGCCTCTGAAGGGAGACTCCACCTGCTCGAAACAGGCGCCAAAAACAGCCAAGATCCACGGGGGGGGAGGGGGGCCCGCGCCGATCGGCAAAACGATGAATGAGAAAACGATCACACATCGGTTTCGGTCCGTCGTGTTTCGACGATCCTCCGTGTGTGTGTGTGTGTGTGTGTGTGTCTGTGTGTGTGTTAGCACCAGCGTGTGCCTGCCCCGTGAGGCCCCTCAACACAACGCAGGCGATGCAATGATCTACCTCTGCAGGGCTGAACGGGGTCAGCACACATTGGGCCAACGCACTTTGTGAGGATCATTCGGCAGTGGACAAACCTCCCTTCAATAAACCTCCCCTTCATGAAAACGGCCTGGGACCGAAACCGACGGACCTGGACCCGCAAATAATGACGGCCGCGACGCCCTCTCGCGAGCCGAAAACGGCCAATGCCTGAATCGACGTGTCAGGGTGGGAGGCCTGTCCACCCCCGAACACATTGGGCCAACGCACGTTGCGAGGATCATCGGGTTCTGCGCGTGCGGGCGAGGCGAAGCTGCACGGGCGGGCGAGAGGAGCGCAGCCTCTCCTTGCGGGGGCGCCGCCCCGCCGTGGCGCCCCCGCGGTGTCTCGCGGTGTCCCGCCGTGGTGTTCCGATGGTGTCCCATGGTGTCCCGTGGTGCCCCGCGGTGCCCCGCGGAGTCCTGTGGTGGGTGCCCTGTGATGGTGTCCCGTGGTGTCTCGCGGTGTCCCGCGGTGTCCCGCAGTGTCCCGCCGTGGTGTCCCGAAGGCGTCCCGTGGTGTCCCGTGGTGCGCTGTGGTGTCCCGCGGAGTCCCGTGAGATCAAGAGCCGGTACGATCGATAGTGCTATCGATAGATTGACTTTGAGATCGATAGTGAGATCGATGGTGCGACCGCTATTGAGATCGATCGTAAGATCGATAGTGAGACCGATAGTGAGGTCGATAGCGAGATCGATAGTGAGACTGATGGTGATGTCGGCAGCAAGGTCGATAGTGCGATCGAAAGTAAGGTCGATTGTGAGATAGATGGTGGCATCGCCAGTGAGATCGATCGTAAGTGCAGTAGCGAAATCGGTTGCCCCTGGCCCAGGGCGTCCCCCAGCTCCTCGCTCCGGGGCCCTCTGGGCCTCGTGATGGGGCGCTTTGGAGGCCACCTCGACCTTTCGGGGAATCCCGGGTACACCTTGGGCCTGGGACTCCTCCTCCTCCTCCTCCTCCTCCTCCTCCTCCTCCTCCCTCCTCCTACCCCCCTCTCTTCACCCTCCTCTCTCCCTCCTCCCCCCTCCCTCTTCCCCCTCCTCCTCCCCCTCCTCCTCCCCCTCCTCCTCCTCCTCCTCCTCCTCTTCCTCCTCCTCCTCCTTCTCCTCCTCCGCCTCCTCTTCGTCCCCCACCTCATCCTCCTCCGCATCCTCCGTCTCCTCCAAGCGCGGCCTCAAGGAAATCTCGAGCCCTACCCCCGCGGCTGTTTTCTCTTCCCGGCTCTGTGTCTGACAAGTCCTGGGGCCCGACACCTTGAGAGGGGACCGACCGTCCGGGCATCCCTGTAAGCCTTCCACGACATGTACCTGGAACCGTGTATATATATGTATATATATATATATATATATATTTAAAAAAAAAAAAAAAAAAAAAAAAAACATAAGCAGCGTTCTCTCAGAACATACAATCGGTGCGCTAACACGTGACGCTCTCATCCAGAACTGCTCTAAGAACATCTCGTGCAAATCGCAGAAGGTTCTCAAAACATTATGTGGTAGGCCTCTAGGAAAAGTCTGCTGGGGGGGGTCCCAATGGATCAGGTCGGAGGACCGCGCCGCATCGGCGATGCATCGGCGATGCATCGGCGATACTTCGGCGACGCACCGCCGCCGTCAGTGTGGCAACAAACGGGCTCCACATCGAGCCGCATCGCTGATGCCTCGGCGATGCGGCGTCCTGGCTTCGCTGCTGCTTGAAAAACGAGCCCCAGCAGCCCACGTCGAGGAGCCGCCGCCAGGCCTGCAGACAGAGCTCACACCGCCGGAGACCTGGGCCTCTTGCGACTGGGCATGAAAGGACCCCTAACCCTTTGGGAGGGGACCTGAGTAAGGAGGGCCAGGAACGTTAGGGATAGGTGGTCTTTGCTGCAAAAGCATCGAACCACACCGCTCAGATGTATCATCCCTGATGCGAAGACGGGGACCTCAGTGAGGCCACGACTTCCTCGTGCTATCAGGGTTTGGGGTTTTAAGTGTGCAACGTCAGAGCCACAAATTAGTCATGTTTGTGTGCGTGTGTGTGTGTGTGTGTGTGTGTGTGTGTGTGTGGGGGTCTGTGTTATTTACTGGGATGACCGTGGGGGTTTCTAAATGGATAGAGGGGTTACAAGTGGATGCCAAGGTGGGTTATATCTGGCCCAACCTGGCTTATAAGTTGGTTACAAGTGCCCTAAGTAGCTTAGGAGCTGTCGATAACTCGGCTAAGTGGGCGGAGCCCACCTAGCCCAGATCGTTAACCCCCCTGAGCTACTCAGGGCACTTGTAACCCGCTTATAAGCCAGGTTGGGCCAGATATAACCCACCTTGGCATCCACTTGTAACCCCCCTATCCACTTAGGAACCCCCACGGCCATCCCAGTAAATGTTTGCTGTATATTCCGTCTGGTACATTGTTTGTGGTTGTTGTGTTTGTTTGTGTGTGTGTGTTGTGTTGTGTTGTGTTGTGTTGATTTGTTTGTTCGGTGTTTTTTGCGTTTTTCACGTGGGGGAGTTCTGCCGCGGTCGACCGCCTGCGGGGGTTCGACTGCCGCCCCCGCGCGGATCGCCCCCGCCAAAGTTCCCTCAAAAGGGGGAGCTTAGGCGGGTTTTTTTCCCGCAGGCGCCCCCGCTCGCCTGGGATGGCGCGGGGGGTCTTGGATCGCCCAGGGGGGGTCCAGGACGGGCCGACTCGCCAGGGGGGGTGTCGGTCCGAGCGGTGGAGTCGCCCGGGGGGGTCTCCGCCGCTCAGTTCCCGCACGAGTCGCCTGGGGAAGTCTCGCGCGGGAACAGCCCTCGCGAATCGCCCAGAGGGGGTTTCACGGGGGCGAGGTAGCCCGGGGGGCGCCTCAGAGGGCAGTGCACGTCGCGAAGGATTCATGCGAATCTTTCGCGGGACTCGCGAATTTTTCGCGGGAGGCGCAACGGTCTGGACAGTCGCGCAGGAGGGGGGCGAAGAAGAGAGGAGGGGAAGTCCGATAACAAAGCCTCGCGGGCCACCTCCGGGGCCAAGCGAATGACGGACAATTTGAGCAAGGAACGGCTAAGGAAACAGAAGGGGGGCGAAGGATAACAGCCGGAGGGGCGCGAGCGGCGCACCGAAGAGCAGAAGCGGAGAGATTGGGAGTTCTCCGGCTGATCATGCCAAGAAAAAATGCAGGGTTGATGACTAATTTAAGGCTCTGACTTTGCACACACAAGGGGTTCTTTTATCCTCAATCATCTTGGCCGCCCCCACCGAGCAACGGAACACTGCACAAGCAGACACTTTCGGAGATCCGCGCGGATAGTTGGCGGCGCACACAGCCCAGGAATCCAACGCTCCAACAAAAAGTTGAAGCGGCAGGTTTGGGCTCGTTTCGTTTTTTTGTTGTCTCAGCCCGACTCACTAGTGCGCGCGCGCGAGCGGATTGCCTGTGCCACGCTGCAACGTAAAACAAAAATGCAAAAAACAATCTCGGCCTCCGGGGCCCTCGTTGGGCCCCGGGACCGTCAGACAAAGGGCACGGCACAAAAAAACAATCCGCCCTAGGGAGTGGTCCAAACCTCCAGGGACCACGCATCGAGAACACTGGAGCGCCCGGATGTCTGGGAAGGGGAGATGGGCAAGGGGGGAAGGCTTCTCAGCAGGAGGCTGCTTCAGAAAGCGGCGGCCCTGCATCTGCAGAGGAGGCCCGCGTCTTCTTCAGAAGCAGGGGTGCTTCGAAGAAGCCCTCCCCCCTCCCCCTCCTCGAGAAACCCAGAGGTACCGATACCGTTACTCCCCAGACTTAGGTCGGGCATATCCCCCTGCAGGCTGACTTTGAACGAAAAATAAAACAGTAATAAAAAACAAGACACACATAATGCAAACAAATCATCCCCTATACTATTTGTTGGCTATTTTTGAATATTCCTCCTGTAGAACGACAGGCCAGACATAACGTTACTCCAGACCTTTCCCGGTGTGCCGTCTGACCCGGATTTCGAGGCGAATCCAGCGGTGGCGACAGAAAGGCCTCCCAGGAAACCCCAAAAGATGAGAGAGAACGGGCGGAGGGTAGCGGTATGGGTATGGGTACCTTTTCCCCCTCCCCCGACCTCCGACGTCATGATTTTGTCATGGTGAGCGTTGTTTTACTCAGCGTTTCGACATTGAGCGTGAAGCGGGGGGGAAAAGGGGAGTCTGGCTCCGGACCTCTGCTTAGCGTGACTGTTTGCAGCAGTGCTGCCTCTGGGGGAGACTCCACCCGCTCGAAACAGGCGCCAAAAAACAGCCAAGATCTACTCCATGGGGGGGGAGGGGGGGTGCGAGGACCCGCGCCGATCGGCAAAACAATGCATAAAGAAACGAACACGTTTTCATCTCTTGGGGGCGATGTTTTTTACTTCCGCCGCCTTCCGCCAAACTTCCACCGGCTTCTGCTGGCGGAGGCGGCCTCGTCTTACTTCCGCCGACCTTCCGCCGCCTTTCCGCCGCGAAAGAGATGACAACTAATCCTTTGAAAGGGGTCCCAAGTTAGGAGAGCCAAAAAACATGAGGGATATTGGTCTGTTCTGCACATGTATCAGACCAAACCGCCGAGATCTACTATCCATAGTGCGGCAAGGGGACCTAAGTAAGGCCACGTCTTCATAATGTTAATAGGCTTAGAGGGTCTTTTTGTCATGACAATTGATTATTCGGCGGCGAGCCCGGGTAGGAAGTGAGAAGGAGAAGGCCTTCCTAGAAGGCTCAGAAGCGTTCGGCCTTCTGAAACATATTCTAAGCCCTCCCCGAAGACGCAGAAAGCTTCTCAAAACGCCGGAGGGATTAAGCCCTGCTGCCTTCCGGGAGGGCCTTCATCTTCTCAATTCCCTCCTCACTCGCCGACGATTTCTTTTCCGAACTGTGGGAACCAGGAGATACCGATACCGCTACTCTCGGGACCTCCCCCGCGGTGCGCTCTGACCAGAATTTCGGGGCGTATGCAGCCGTGGCCACGAGGGCCTCCCAGGAGGCCCCAACAAGGCGAAAACGATCGGTACCCCTTCCTTCCTTCTCTGACAAGCCCCCTGTCGCCTTCCTCTCGTCCCCCATCAACCTTCCCGCCGGCACCTCGTGGGCGAAGAACATGTCCGTATCCTCGGCCTCGTGGCTGGGCCCCTGGGCCGCGTTCCCGAGGATACGGGCCGTCTTTTCGCGCATGACTGGCGGCAAAGTGTACCAGTACAGCTGCGTATCCGCCAGATCGCGTCCCATAACCCAGACCGCAAAGGCGCGGATACGGATATGCTCGCTAACGGAAGAAACAATCGAATAAGCATAAACTGTCTTGGATCCACGCCCAACCCCCCTCCCTGGCGCGCGGAGCGCACCAAGGGCGGCGCCGGAGGCGCCGCCAGGGGGGCCCAGCGCAGATCCAAGAAATCTGCACGGACAGTCGCAAGGTTCCCAGACGTGCGACGTCCTGATTCTTTCAATGCGCGGTCCCCAGAAGTCACGACGCTTTCCCTGGGACTGGTTTTTCATCCCGAAGCGCTTGCTGACGGTCCTGCGGCCTGGCGAAAGTCTTTGGAGGCCGAAAACGGCCCAAACCCTCCCGCCGTTTTTTTCACGACGCGATCCCAGAGATCCGATGTCGTAACTGTTCAACAAGGGTCTCCGGAAGTCTTGACACATTCATTCCCCATAACCGCTTTTTCATCCCAAATCATTTTTGGACGGCCCTGGGGGCCCGGCAAGCCTCTCTAGAGACCGAGAGCGGCGAAACAACTCCGCCTTGATCTTGTTCCTACGCTGGATCTCTGGGATCATGTCTGGGTCATGCTAGCGGCGGGCGAGGGGGGGAAGTGAGAAGGAGAAGGCCTTCTCAGAAGGCGGCGGGACTTCTCAGAAGCCCCCAGCGCCTTCCGAGAAGCTTGCTGTCCTCGGGGAAGGCCCAGAAAACTTCCCACAAGGCCGGGGGGCCTTCCGAAGCCTCTGCCAATGCCTGCTTCATCTCGCTTCTCCCCCCTCGCTTGCCGCCGGTCATGGTCGAGCAACTTGATTTAAGTCGGGCGTGTCCCCATACAGGGGGATTTTCGATGAAAAATAATACATACCCCAAAAATAATAATAATAATAATAAATCCAAAAATAGCCTGGGGACTATTTTCTGCATATTTTTTGACCATCTGGGGAGATTTTTTGAGTATCTTTTATTTTTCGTCGAAAATCCCCCTGTAGGGGGACACGCCCGGCATAAAACTTGATCTTCCTCGAGCAGCCGCTCGTGCACCTCCCGCGCCCTGCTCGCGAGGCTGTGGGCGCCGGAGGCCTTACCAGCCTCGAACGTATCCCTCTCCCCATGATCGACACGCCAAAAGGCGATGCATACTCTTAGGGATCCGCCCTCACAAGATGAGGGAATCCCTAAGATTGGCATCGTGATGAGGCGGTGCCCAGCATACACCCTGCGAAATGCTTAAGAAATCATGGGTTAAGAAATTCATAGTCTCAGAAGTTGAATAAAAACCCCAAAAATCTCTTCAAATCTTAGGATTTACATTGAAACATTAAGAATAAACGAGACTCTGGCCGAACATTAAAGTTTTCTTAAGCATCGCCTAAGGTGTAGGGATAGGGATATGTTCCAGGCTGGTAGAGACCTGCTCCGGGCCGCCGGCGCGGAGTTCGTCGCCCGGCGTCCACCCGTAGAGCGGCGGCCCGGCGCCGGGGCCCGGCGCGCCCAGGCCGTCCTCGCCGCGGGCCCACGCTGCAGGAGGAGGAGGGGGAGGAGGAGGAGGAGGAGGAGGAGGAGGAGGAGGAGGAGGAGGAGGAGGAGGAGGAGGAGGAGGAGGAGGAGGAGGGAGGAGGGGTGGAGGAGGAGGAGGAGGAGGAGGGGAGGAGGAGGGAAGGGGAGGGGGGGAGGAGGGGAGGAGGAGGAGAGGAGGAGGAGGAGGAGGGAGGTGGGAGGGGGAGGAGGGGGAGCGGGTCGAGGGGGCTCCGAGGCTCGAAGGAGCGATGGGCCCGGGGTCCAGGCCCGGGGTGCCTCAGAAGCTCCAGGGGTCGAGGGGGCGGAGGCGTCAGGCGTCAAGAGGAGGAGGAGGCGGAGGAGGTGGAGGAGGAGGAGGCGGAGGAGGAGGCGGAGGAGGAGGAGGAGGAGGAGGCGGAGGAGGGGGAGGAGGCGGAGGAGGAGGAGGAGGTGGAGGAGGTGGAGGAGGTGGAGGAGGTGGAGGAGGTGGAGGAGGAGGGGGTGGTGGAGGAGGTGGAGGAGGAGGGGGTGGAGGAGGAGGAGGCGGAGGAGGTGGAGAGGCGACACCAACACCACCAGGGCGAGGAGAGATGCGAGGAGGCAAAGGGGGGTGTCCCTGTCGGTGTGGTCCCCCCGGGGGGGGGGGGTCTCCCTGTCGGTGTGGTCCCCCCGGGGGGGGGGGTCTCCCTGTCGGTGTGGTCCCCCCGGGGGGGGGGGACCCCCTGAGCGAGGGGGGGGGCCCCCCTCGCTCGAGACATGCCCGGCCTCCAGCTCGGGGAGGTATCGTGGACCTCCTCGCTGGAGGTGGGCCACCTGCTGGTGTTGGTATCGCTTCTCCTCCCTCCGACTCTACCTGCCAGTGCAGTCGGCCGGTATCGCAAGGATGCGCGATAAGAGCGCAAGAGCCATCTCGAAGCTCTTCGAGCGGGGCGCGGCCAAGGATGGGCCGAAGAGAGACGGATGCAAGGGTACCCTTGGGAAGGTTGCCCATCCCTTAGTGGGCTCCGGAAACGGCAGGGTCGTTTTTTCACCGCTTCCGACAAAACATCCCTTGAAAATGAAAACGGCAAACAAACGGCGAACGGAAACGGCACAAGAAACGGCTCCAAGATTGGAACCGGAGCCGGAACCGGTCAAACAACGGTAACAAAAACGGCGTCGGAACCGGCAAAAATATGGCAAAACGGAACCGGCAACAAAACGGCCCTGTCGTTTCCAGGGCCCACCAATGCCCATCCTCACCATGTGGGTCGACTGTAGGGGATCTCGGGGAAAACGAAGAGGGAACATAGGATGACAAAGGGCAAGGTAGAGAATCAGCTCACGCAACCGCTAATCTTCCTGGCGCCTCCCGGCGCCGGGAGGCGGCCGTGTATCGAGGTCATGGGCTTGGTGGCGGGGCCGAAACCAGCTGCATGCAACGGATTTCGTACCCCCTTCTTCCCTGTCCCCCCCTTCCTTCGGCCCGAGGGTAGATTACATAATTGATTTACCCTGCGATTTTTTGGTTACCAACTCTACAAACAGTACGTAGAAGGTTCGTTGGTCTACGGACCATTCGATGCATGTACACATATACGACGGGAAAATCCAATTTGGGGGAACATCCATAGGAGCGAGGAAGCATAGAGCCCCTCGGGTCATGAAGAATCATGACGGGAATGTCTTCACTTTTTTCTTGTCCTGGGAACCCTTCCCCGGCCTCGGGACCGTCAGAAAACTACTCAAGATGAAAAACCCGTCCTGGGGAATAGGTCGACACCTCCATGGCAAAATCAGAACGTCGGGGGTCTGGCAAAGGCGACCCCAGCCCCGAGATGCCCCGAGATCCCGGCGTCGCACCTGTTCTTCGCGCGGGGCGTCTTCATCCGATGTCGGGCCCCAGGGCCTTCATAGATCGGTGCGGCTCGCAACATGGAGCACACAGATGGGTCGGGGGCGCTGGTCGTGTGTCTGGTTTTGCGATGCCGCATGGTTTGGCAACGTCGGATCTCATGGTGCGAGAACGGCACCCACACACTGTACCACGTTTGGGCTCTCTCTAGGCTTATCGCCGAGCGCAGTGCACAGCACTTTTAGTTGTTCCAGGCCTCCGAAAGGGGGTCCGAGCATGTGGGGTCGGAGGATCGCGCCGCACCGGCGATGCATCGGCGAGGCATCGGCGGCGCCGGCGAGGCATCCGCAACGTCGCCGTGCCGCAAGTCGGGCTCCACATCGAGCCGCGGCAGCGACGCATCGGCGATGCCTCGGCGATGCGGCGCGGCCCTCGGACCCAATCTACTTCGAACAGTTTGGGCGGCCTAGAGGTCCATGCGCGGCCGAGAAACTTGTTTCCCCGATTGAAATCCGCTGCCCTTCCAAAGGGCTATCACGGCATCGGGCAGCGGGTCCAAACACCTGCGATCTAATAGTGACTGCTCGCGCTTCCGCCCCAGAGGAAGGCTTTAGAGCTAATGAGACAGACGTGGCTATTCTGGCACTGGGCCAGAGTGCCGTCGCGCGCTTGACCAGGACAGAGGCGCAGACTGGAGAGGATTTGCCCCGACAGTTTCTGACAAGGAGGGGCGCTGGAAGCATCATCCTGGCCCGAATCACCTCACCGTAATAGACAGTCGCAACGTCTAGGAACATCAGTGGTGCAAGCTAATGTGTCCAAGATTGCACTGGCAAGGAAAAGTAAGCGCGCACACTCATCCAGAATACCGAAAGGAGGAGGGGGAGGAGCAGGAGGAGGAGGAGGAGGAGGAGGAGGAGAAGGAGCAGGAGGAGGAGGAGGATGTCGGTCATGTGGCCATGTCATGGGCATGCGAGGTCTTGGTCATGTTGGTGGCTGGGGATGCCCCCAGTGAGGCGGTACTCACGCTTCGCGGTGGCTGGCTCCATGCGTTCCTGACGCCGAACAACGACATTCGGTAGAGGGAAACAATTACTGAACATTCCCCCTCCCCCCCCAAACTCAATGTTGGCACGCGCGGGGGAGACTGCGACCGAAGTGCATCTCATCAGATTCACCGCCAACTTTGATCATTGGGAGGGGGGGAGGCGTTGACGGATGAATGTGGCATGAGTGTTCGCTAATTTGTTCCGAGGTCTGTTAGACCGCGTTCCCCTCCCAGTGCACAGCGGCGGGCTGCGATGAAAGGTTTCTGTTCTGTGGGCGCTGCAGAGTTCCGGGAGGCGGCGGGCCCCTGCCAAGTCGGGTCTGGCCGGCCAGGGGGGAGCAGCGCCTGCCGCGCTCAGCTTCTTCTGGCGTGGGGGCAAAATCCGTCCTTCGACCTTGTCGGCGTCGACATTGAGAACATCGTGCGGCGGACGGGACCACCCATACGGTCGTCGCCACCAATGTTAAGTCGGGCCTGTCACCCTACAGGGGGATTTTCGACGAAAACAAAACAAATACCCCAAACATAATCCAAACATAGTCTGGGGATTATTCTTTGAGCATTGGTTCGCCTTTTTGGGGCATTTTGGGGGTATTTTGTTTTTCGATGAACATCCCGCCTCAGCGTTAATCAGGGAGACCCCATCTCGGCCCCCTTGGCCCACGTCGGGGCCGCAGCGCTGCACGAGGCCACCGAGGAGCCAGGGCTGGCGCCTGCTGTGCAGGACGACGCGTGCGGCCTCGTGGACCCGAGCATCACAAAGGGGATGGCTCGACGAGCTCCCAGGGGGCTGCTGCGCCCGCTGGGCCCGCCCATGCACCTGGCTAGAGTCAGGTCGGGCCTGTCCCCCTACAGGGGGGGCTTTAGACGAAAAATAGAAAATACCCCCAAAACTACTCCAAGAAGGTCAAGAAATATTCAAAAAAATGTCCCCAGACTATGTTTGGGACTCTTTTTGGATTATGTTTGGAGTATTTTCTGTTTTTTCCTCGAGAATCCCCCTGTAGGGGGACAGGCCCGACTTGTCGCTGGACCCGCCCATGAACCTGGCTAGAGGCAAGTCGTGGGTTTGTCCCGGCGGGCAGGCCCCACCACAGCTCGGGACAGTGTGTTGCATGCTCATTCTGGGGCCCTTCCTGGAGCCACTCGCTCCACTCGCGCGTCGAAGCTGCGTCGAACGCGAGTCGAACCTGAGTCGAACCTGCGTCGAACCTGAGTCGAGCCTGAGTCGAACCTGAGTCGAACCTGCGTCGAACCTCAGTCGAACTCGAGTCGAACCTGAGTCGAACAGATCCGTTGGGTGGGCCCCAGGAAGGTCCCCGAAACGAGCATCGAACCCCCCTGTGCCCGCCGCTCGCCCGCCGAGGCAGTGCTGCGCAGGGCAGAGCAAAGGCCGGACGCCACGAGCGGCGAAGCTGTCCCGCAGCCGCGCCCTCGCCGGTCGGAAGGTCCCCGAGACGAGCATCGAAAGTGTGCGTGGACATCGTCGCAGGCACGCCGGTGGTGCGGAAGGCTGCCGCGCCCGCCGCCCGGTGCGCTGGCAGAGGCGCTCCGAGCGCCGCGGGCATCCGTCGACAATGAAGGGGCCCCAGGACACGAGAATGAATACACACAAATGAAAAGAGTCCAAACATTTGTCCATATCTTCTGGGGTTTTGTCTTCCCCCACACTTCCCATATTTTCCAGTATTTTCTGCGGAATCGACGATGAATTGTGTCTGTGTTTTTTTTCTCCCTCCTGAGACAAGCTGGTGCCAGGAGCGGGCCGGGCATCACGGCAGGCTCCGGCACCTGCGCGAGAACGGCCTGAGCACACAGACGGCCAGCGCACTGGCCAGGTATGCCTCCGCGGGCGATGCGCAAACTACACGTGCGAGAATGTCGTTGTCGACGATGCTCAAGCAGAGCGCCTCGACCGAGCCTCGTTCGAGGGCCAGCTGGAGATCCTGAGCGTGGAAACCCACGAGGTCCCGGTGCGGGAGCGGTTCTTCTTGCCCTGGCGGTCGGGAGGCTTTGAGCTCCAGTCTGCGAAGCACGGTGCTGCCGCGCTGTACTTGGCCAACTGGGCGCGGGAGCTGGAAGCTGCTGCAGAGCGACCCCCCCGATTCGCCAGCGCGCTAGCGGGCCAGATCTGGCACGAGAGCTGCGTACAGTGCTGCCGGCGGTTCGCTCTGCCGTCGCCCATTTAGACACCATTGGCGCAGACATGCCGACTTCGTTACGAGCCTGCCCGATGATCGCCCAAGCGGACAAGGCGGCCGGCAAACTCCGAGAGTCCGTCGGGACACGCGCATTGCAGACTATTCAACGCGGTGCGATGGGACAGGAGCTGTTGGTCACCAACTCTGCCGGGGGGGCCGGGTCTGGGCAGTGGCTGCAAATGCCGCAGAAACCGGCCGACCGGCTCACAGACCAGCAGCTTGTCACCTCCGTCCGGCTTCGCATGCATCTACCCGTCTTCATCCAGGCGGGTTCGTGCGGCCATGTCAGCTGGCAGCAGGGGCGATCTTGCGGAGCCCATGTGGAGGCTACCGGCATTCATCCTCTGTTGTGCAGCGTAGGCGGACACATCGCTGTACGAAATGATGGGGTGCGGGACGAGTTGGCTGCCCTGTTGCGGGAAACGGTCGCATCCCCAGTCCACATTGAGCCCCACGACGGCCAAGTGGCGGGCGACAAGCATCTCGACATCATGTGGTGGGATACCAGGGGAGACCAGGTCTGGGCAGGCGTCGCCATCTTCACGCCGACGCCCCGCACAGTGGCAGACACGAGCGCCATGAGTGACAAAGAGAGTGTGCTTGTTCGTCACCACGAGGGCTACAAACGCCGGAAATACCCGCACTTGGACCTGCTCCCGGCGTGTTTCGAGACCTTTGGCCGGCCCGGCGGATCCCTGGTGTCGCTTGTCCGCAGCCTCGGCGATGGTTTGGGTGATGCGCAACGGAGTGAGTGCATCTCAAAGGCTTGGCGCCGGGGCAACGTGGCCATCCTGGCTAGCGCGGGTGACCTCATGCCACCATGAGGGCATACCGTTGCACATGTAATATTTTCATGTTCTTCGCGTTGCATTTTCTTCGCAACGGGCGATGTTGCCTCGTTTCGGGTTCTGGGACCCTGCCAGGTCGATCCGCCTCGAAAACTGCCACTGGGGTCCAGGGCTCTGGTCGAGCTGTTGCACGATGATGTACGTTTGATGGTGACGTCGGATCTCATGGGGGGAGTCAGGGAGGGTCCTCTGGACTGGACTGGGGTGGACTCTACGCCACTCTACTTTACTCTACTCTACTCTGCTCTGCTCTGATCTGCTCTGCTCTACTCTGCTCTGCTCTGCTCTGCTCTATGTATACCCTGCTCTACTCTTCCATCTACTCTGCTCTTCTCTAGTACACGCTGCTCTAATCGACGCTACCCTAACCGAATCTACTCTACTCTGATGTACTCGACTCTATCCTACGCTACGCCCCCGCTACTCTACTCGAATACACTCTGGCATTGTCTACTCTACTCTACTCTTATATATATGTATATATGTGGCTCCACCCTTCTATCTGCCCTACGCTACTCTACTCTGCTTTACTCTAATCTACCCTGTTCTACTCTATCCTGCTCTACTCTACCCTACCATACCCTACCATGCCATAACAAACTCTACACTGCACTACTCAACTCCAGTTCCGACTCTACTCCTACGCCTACTGGACTCCCACTCGAATCCACTCTCCTCACATATGTTGTTATTGTCTTGCCTATTCTACGCTACTTCACCCTACTATACCCGACACTACTCTTCTATCTGCCCTACTCTACTCTACTCTACTCTAATATGTTCTACTCTGACCTACTCTACTTTACCGTAACCTACAGTGCCTTAGCCTACTCTATACTACACGTTTCTAGTCCACACTACTTCACTCTACCCCTAGTCCTACTCTACTCTACTCTACTCTACTCTACTCTACTCTTCTCTACTCGATTGTACTCTAGTGCTGCCAACGTTAGGCCATCATTAGGGGGCCACATGTGAACCCCACCCCTACCCCCCACGATTTCTGAGGGGGGAGGGTGGGGTTAACTTCGTTCGGGAGCTCCCGAACGAAGTGAACCCCACCCTCCCCCTCAGAATCGTGGGAGGTAGGGGCAGGGTTCGCATGTGGCCCCCTAACCATGTACCTACCATCCTACACGATTATACTCGAACAAGCCAGGCTCTAACTTTATATTGAGGCGTCGTCGTCGTCGCCGTCACAGTCGCTGTTTCCGTCGCCGTCGTCGTCGTCATCGTCGTCGTCTGCGTCGTCGTCTGGGCCGTCGTCGTGGTCGTCGTCGTCGTCGTCATTGTCATCGTCGTCGTCGTCGTCGTCGCGCTGTCTGCGTCGACGGCGTCAACGATCTCGTCGTCGTCATCGTCGTCCCGGGCATCTGCGTCGTCGTCGTCTTGCAAGGTCGTCGTCGTAGTCGTTGTAGTCTTCGTCATCATCTGCATCGTCGTCGTCATCGCCGTCATCGTCTGCATCGTCGGCGTCGTCGTCGTCTTCGTCGTAGTCGTCTGCGTCGACGTCGACGTCGTGGTCGTCGTCGTCTGCGTCGTCGTCGTCGACGTCGTGGTCGTCGTCGTCTGCGTCGTCGTCGCCGTCATTGTCGTTTTCGTCGTCGCCGTCGGAATCGTCATCGTTGTCTGCGTCGTCGTCGTCTGCGCCATCGTCGTCTGCGTCGCTGGCGTCGGCGTCGTCGTTGTCGTCGTCGCCGTCGTCGTCGTCGTCGTCATCGTCGTCATCGTCGTCGTCATTGTCGTCGCCGTCTGCGTCGTCGCCTGCGTCGTCGCCGTCGTGGATCTGCGTCGTCGTCGTCGATCTGCGTCGGCGTCGTCGTCGTCGTCATCGTCGTCGGCGGCGGCCTCGTCACATTCCTCCTTGTCGTCCTCTGCCATCCCCAGGAGGAAGAGGAGGAGGAGGACGAGGAGGAGAAGGACGGGTCGCCTAAGCCCTTCGGAGCAGTCCTCCAGGGCGGGGAAGGCATCGGGGGGCCTCCTCGCTGGAGTTGGCACCCCTGATGGTGGTGGGGTTGCCGCCCTTCTCTCCTGCGACTCCGCCCTGGGCCCGCTGAGCGCCAGCGCAGCGCCCACGACCTGCAGACAATGCCAACGAGCATCGCTTCACCGATCCCCACCCTCAATAGGTGAGCGTTGTTTTTCGTTTTTTCGGCGTTTCGACATTGGGAGGAAGGGGGGGGGAGGGGGGGATCTGGCTCAGGACCTCTCCTTTGTGCGACTGGTTGGAGCAGTGCGTCCATTATGGGGGAGGCTCCACTTGCTCGAAACAGGCGCCAAAAACAGCCAAGATCAACTCCAGGGGAAAGGGGGGGGAGCGGGGGGTGCGAGGGCCCGCGCCGATCGGCAAAACTTGCCGCCCCAGATGGGGATAGAATAGAGGCTGTTCCCTTCGGGTTTCGACGAGCCTGTTCCTAACTGGGGAGTGAGTCCCAGTGGGGCTGAGAATCCACAGCCTGGTGGGGATGGGGATAGGCTAAGCGATGCTGAGCCAAGGGGGGTCGCCACTCCCTCCACGAAGCCGGCCCACCCCAAGGCTCCCAAAAGTTCCAGAATTAGGTCGGGCGTGTCCCCCAACAGGCGGATTTTGGACGAACAATATAACAATCCGAAAATACCCCAAAATACCAAAAAAATGTAAAACATCGTCCCATATTATTTTTTACCATTTTTGACTATTCCTCCTGTAGAGGAAGAGGCCCGACTGAAACATAGAAACGTCCAAAACTTCCTCAATCCTGGATCCTCGATCATCCTCGGTCCCTGCCTTCCAGGAGGAGGTGGTGCCTTGGAGGTGGCCGCGGGGTCTAGCTGAGTGGGCCCTGACATAATCGGTCAAGGGGAGGGGATAGCCAATTCCGCTCAAAATCCGTCCTTGGACCCCTCCCGGGGCCCATCTGGTAAAGCTATTCACCCTGGATCCGTTTTCGACGGTCCCGGGGCCCGAAAGCGCCCCCGGAGACCGAGAACGGCAGAAATAAAAAAACTCCCTCGACTCCAGGACCTCGAATCTCCTGCTGGCCGGAACCCGACCTCAGAAACTCTCAGCCGACTCCAAGTGGTGGCCCCCCCGACCCGCTGGTGACCCCCCCTTTGGCGCTCTGCCCGAGGCCTGCAGGAGGGAGCCCGCTCGCCAGGCCGCCAGCATGGCTGGCGCGCGCCTCCTGCCCCGAGAGGACCGATGAGGCCCCCGCGGAGCTGCCTATGCAGAGGGTACGCTGTGCGGATGCGTCGTGCGCCCCTGGGCCACGACTGCGAGACCCAAAGTTCTGGAGGCCCGACATGCGTGCGGACAACGTGGGCACGATGCCCCTCGGCGTGCTCCTTCGTGCTTCCGCCCCTCCTGCCGCCCTGCCCGCCTCCTCCTCCGCGACCTCCTGCCTCCTCCTCCTCTTCCTCCTCCTGCCTCCTTCTCCTCCTCCTCCGCCTCTTCCTTCTCCGTTCCGTTGTCTTATGACAAGTTCTCCCTGTCGCACCCCGAGGCAAGCTTTTAGGGCGGGCTGGGCGTTTCGCCTGAGACGACCTCACCATGTATGGCCCTGAAGCGTGAAACATAACCAAAACTTAACGGATGCAGGCCGAGTGGTTTTCGCAATGTGGCTCTCGCCGTGGCGCCGCGCTCATTCCTTTCAAAACCGTGGACGAGTTTAATGGATTGATGACGACTGGTTTTCACAATGAGGCTCTCGCCTTAATGCCGCGCGCATTCGTTTCTACGAACTATTTTCAAAATGGTGCTCTCGCCTTAGCGTCCTCCTCCTCCTCCTCCTACAGCCTTCTGCCTCCTGCCTCCCACTCCTCCCTGAGATCATACGTCACGAAACGCTGAAGCGTGTCAAACCAAGTCCACCGGAGGCCTAGACCAAACCTTTCTCCTGCACCTGTCGAGCCGGATCAACCCGTCAGGGTCCCCAAAGCTCCAAACGAGGCAGAATCGTCCGTTCTGGAAAAAATGCGACGCCAGGATCTCAGTACTTTCTCCTCCCCCTCCTCCTCCTCCTCCTTCTCCTCCTCCTCCTCCTCCTCCTCCTCCTCCTCCTCATCCGCCTCATCCTCCTCCCCCTCCTCTCCTCCTCCTCCTCCTCCTCCTCCTCCTCCTCCTCCTCCTCCTCTTCTGCCTCCTCCCCCCCCCCTCCCCCTCCTCCTTCTCCTCCTCCTCCGCCTCCTCCGCTTCACTCTGCTTCCTGCCTCCTGTTTCCTCCTCCTCCTCCGCCCACTCAAGCCTCCTCCTCCTCAAGCCTCCTCCTCCTCCTCGCCTGCGGCGGCGAGCGCATGAGGGCGAGGGGAGGCGCATTGCCTGGCCCCCATGGAGCACACGTCGCAGATGGCCTCGGGGCAACAGAACTGGTGCCGCACCTCCGCGTAGGGGCCGCTGCCGCTGTCCAGGAACACAGCCACCCTCACAGCGGTGCCCCAGCCGACCCGCCTGCCCCCAAGCCCGCCAGGCCGAGAGCACCCAAGCACGTCACGTGTTCGGCAAGAGGCGGCCATGACGGGGACAACATCGGGCAGGGATACATTTAGGACGAGAACGATATCATGATAGGACTGGCTCAGGGTGCCTTCCAGGATCGTTCCAAGAAGAATCCAACGGCCCTCGTTTCTGGAACCAGCGCGTAACAATATGGAGCCACGGGCATCTTGGAACGTATCATGACTGCCAGATGGCGGGGCCGAATCTTACTCAAGGGGCCCTGTGGCATACAAATACATAGACACACATAACAGGATTCCCTATATGTCCTATATCTGTTTAGGGTTTTGTCTCACCCCCCCACTTCCCAGCTGTTCCCACCCTTTCTGGGGGGTCGAAGATTAGTTGTGTCTGTGCGTGTTTTGCTCCCTCCTGACTTACACCGTCCCCGGGTGCGTGGCTGAAGCGTGATCCCGCGACGCGGATTACTGCTGCTGTGCTGTCGTGGCCCACCCAACGACCCGCCCGCCACCCAGCCCGCGACCCACGCCCGCCACCCACCCATGCTGCTGTGACGAAACAGTCGGCGCCTGGGGCAGGCTGGCCGTGCCAAGATGCTGCCTTTCGCGGCGAGCTTCTTTAGAGCCTCGCGGGCTGCCGACGACACCACCATCCCCTCAGTCTTATTCGCAACTGCGGGGGCTCTGGCATCATGTGAGTATCAGTCTTGCTCCTCGCTCCTGTTAAATTGGCCTTCGACACGCGTCGAAGAGGCCCCAAAACAGACACGACCGCTCCAGGTGCCCCTGGAGATCCCCAAGGAACCACCCAAGATGCAAACGCCGCCGCAAAACCAAAGAAACATCACTGACTTTGGCCTTCTCACCTTCTTTGAAGGATCAAACAACGACCCTACCCTGGGTTACAAGTGCGTGGTCTGTAAACCTCCTGGGAACCCCCAAAGCCTAGAGCCGCCAGGACGCGGCACATCACGCAGGGTGTAACCTGTCAGCCCACAGGAATTTCAGCGCACAGCGCCTCGTAAACCAGGGTAGGGTTTTTTTTATGCCCTTGACTTCTCGCCACCCCAAGAACGCCACGAGGGCACCAAAAGGCAAGCTGTCGGCCTCCGAGGGGGGGACTCAGACTGACGCCAGCCTCCGTTCTGATCGACGGCCCCCAAGATGGCCCCAAGAGGACCTCCAGGGCCAGGGACCCCAAGGGATCCCCAAGAGAGCCCCAAGAGAGCTCACAGAGAGCCCCCAAAGCATTGAACATTGCTCCAAGATGGCTCAAGGCTCCCAGCCTCCAGCGTCACCTTTATTGACATCCGTGCCTCAATCTATGCTCACCTACGCCCCACCTCCAGAGCCCTCCTGGGCATCGTTACTGGATGGGCTGATGGGGATACTTTGGTCGGCGGCCGCGCGACAACGGTCTGGCGGCGAGAGGCAATGTCCGGGGCGGGCGGCACAAAGCTAATTGCACAACAAGCGTGCAGTTGCACATGCACTGAACAACATGCTCTACATTCACCAGCAGAGGCTGGTGGGGATACGCGAAGCGACGAAATAGAGGGACGATCGGGGGACGACACAGGGGGGACTGGCCGAGGGAGGAACATTGACCTGGAATCGGCCATCCATCGCCCTGGGTAGTCGAAGCCAATCTGGCGCCAATCTGGCAGGCCCAATCTGGCAAACGGGGGCAATCTGGCGAGGGAGCCAACGCGAATCCGGTCTGGCGAATAGCCCAAATCATCCAGTTCGGCCAGGCCAGATTGGCCCTTGGGGCCCAATCGAATCTGACAGTCTGGCCTTCGACTACCCAGTCGCCGATAGATCCATCGAGCACAATTGGGCAACCATCGAGCACAAGCCAACCCGCAGGTGGGGCCGAACCGAAACAGTGCAGGAGGCACGCAGACCCAGGCAAAAGCCGCTGGTGGGGATACGCGAAGCGTCGGAATAGAGGGACGATAGGGCGACGGCACGGGGGGACTGGCTGAGGGAGGAACATCGACCTGGAATCGGCCATCCATCGCCGATGGATCGGCGACGCGACCGCCGGCGCCGACGCCGACGACGAGGCCGAATTCCTGCAGGAGGCGCCCGAGCTCGAGGGTGCCGCGCTCTCGGCGGGAGGCGGCCCAAGCGCGCAGCGCTTAGGGGCTCACCAGGTGGTCATCCGCCGCCCACGCGAGGCCTCGGCGACACGGGAGGAGGAGGAGGCCGAGGAGGAGGAGGAGGAGGAGGAGGAGGAGGAGGAGGAGGAGGAGGAGGAGGAGGAGGAGGAGGAGGAGAGGAGGAGGTGGTTGTGAAGGAGGAGGAGGAGGAGGACGAGGAGGAGTTGGAGGAGGAGGAGGAGGCCGAGGACGAGGAGGAGGCCGAGAACAAGGAGGAGGAGAAGGAGGAGGAGGCCTAGGAGGAGGCCGAGGACGAGGAGGAGTAGGAGTAGGACGAGGACGAGGAGAAGGAGGAGGCCGACGAGGAGGGGCCGAGGGCGAGGAGGAGGAGGACGAGGAGGAGGAGCATCAGGAGGAGCGGGGGGGCGAAGGAGGCAGCGACACCCCGCCGCCGGCGGCGAGCGATGCCGCCGCGGCGGGCGCGGCGCGAACCGGCGGCGGCGAGGGGAGCGACGGCCCCCGACGTCCCCTCGCTGCGAGGCAGCGTCTCGGAAGGCGCCGGTGCGCCTCGATGGCCGAGGGGGCTTCTCGAGTGAATCGCGAAGCCGTAGGGGCGAGGAGGGCGAAGGCGAGCACCGCGGGGGAATCCCCCTCGGGGCTCGTCGCGCACGCGCCCGCCCTGGAGGCAAGGATGGCCCAGGGCGGGCGCGTGCGCATCGAGCACCGTCCCCCGAACCCCTTGCTTGGTCTTCGGGAGGTCCCTCCCTCTCTCTCTCGTCGTCCCTCCGCCGGTTCTGTGTGCTGTGTCATAGCCACTTTGGCTGAATCGAAATGAACTCGTGCTTCCGCGCCGAGCCCCGGAAACGCCTCGCTGCCGTCCAGAAGAGTCCCCTGTGCCGCATCCTTTCATCCTTTAGAGACAGCCCCAAGGAACTCCCCTCCTCTAGGCCTCCCAGCTGGGGCACGACGAAAAGAGATTCGGCTAGATCCAGCGAAGCGTGCCTGTGCCCCTGGCTGTGGGTCCCCCCCCGAACTGCTGGAGAGCAGCGGTCTGGTCGCTGTGCCGAAGTGCTGGGGCCTGGGGGCGCGGCAAGAGCCAGCCTGATCTCAAATGCCTGAAGGGGCCCATGGACATACACGTAATTGTCCCAGGAGTCCCTACATGTTCAAACATGCTCTGGGATTCCGTCTTCCCCCCCACCTCCCATCACTTTCCCAGATTTCCCTGGGGATCGACGATTCATTGTGTCTGTGTGTTGTTCCCCCCCCTGGAATGCCTGCTGCTGGGCATGAGAGGGGGCAGATGGGGTCGACGGATCGCGCCGCATCGGCGACCGGCAGGGCGGCTCGATGTGGAGCCCGCTGTTCTCCGCGCCGACGCCGCCGACGCACTGCCGACGTCGCCGACGCATCGGGGATGCGGCGCGGTCCTCGGGTCCCATCTGCCCGGCTCCCCTCTGGGAAGCGTCTCACGAGGCAACGGTCCTTCCAGCCTGCCCGTCTCGATCCGATGCGGACTTCGGTGCTGCTGTGGAGGCCCGACTTGCCCGCCGATGTCCGCCGAGTCGACTTCTCCCAGCTTTGGCTGCCGAATCCCGCCGATCCGACTTTCTTTGATAGCCGATCCGACTCATCGATTCGATTCTGGGCCCTCCTTGCCCCCGAGGGGGACTACCCCGCGGCGCTCGCCTTCGCTCCCCTGCCAAAGTCCTGGTTCTAAGTCGGGCATGTCCCTCTACAGGAAGAATGTTCAAACATAGACAAAACATAATCTGGGGACGATTTGCTCTACTACTTTTGTTTATGTTGGAAAATGGTTTGAACATGTCTTTGGCCTTTTCGCTCAAAGTCCGCTTGTAGGGGGACATGCCCGAGCTAATTCTTGGTGGGTTTTCTTGGTGCGCGACCCACCAATACGGGTTTAAACGTTTTCTTGGTTGCTTTCAAAGTATGGGGACGATTTGTTATAACAAGTTTTGAATATGTCTGGGGTATTGTTTGGGGTGTTTGTCGCTTTCGTCCAAAATCCACCTGCAGGGCCTAGGGGGACACGCCCGACCTAATTCTAGGGGCCTTCTGAATGGGGTCGGGGTAGATAGGGTCGGAGGATCGCGCCGCATCTCCGATGCATCGGTGGGAAGGCGAAAACACACCCCCACCCCCAGTCTCGACCCCATCCTCGAACCCACGATCCAGGGGGTCGGGAATGGGGGTGGGGGGGGCTTTTTCGGGGCCCAAGAATGGAGAAAACCCCCCACCACCCTTTGAATCGCCAGCTCGGGGATGGGAGTCGGGACTGGAGGTGGGGGTGGATTTTCGCTTTCTGAATCGGCGATGCATTGCTAATGCATCAGCCATGACCCAATTTGTACTCGGGCCGCGGCGAGGGCCCCTGGAGGCCGAGAACTGGCAATAGGTCGGGCGTGCCCCCCCTACAGGCGGATTCTTGGACGAGGAACAAAAAAAACATGCCCCAAAAATACCCCCCAAATGTTCAAATTTCCCCCCAAATTTCCCCCAAATGCCCCCCAAATTTCCCAAATTTCCCCGAGGAAAAAAACATGCCCCCCAAATGCTCAAACATGGTTTTAACACATCGTCCCCAGACTTTTTGCTGCTCTTTTGGAACAGCACCCCTGGTAAGGGACAGGCCCGACTTAAAACTAGCAAAAGCCTTCCGCCGCTGTTGCTGTCGCAGCGAGCCGGCGGCTAGTCCAGAGGGGGCGGGGGGGAGGTAGGAAGGGGCGGGCCTTCTACTAAGAAGGCTCGGAGGGCCTCTGGGGTTCCGAGAAGTTGTGTAAGCCTTCGCCGAGCGGATGGCTTCGCAGAAGGCGCGAGGGCTACTGTCGGGGGCGTGCAAACAGGGATGCCCGATCCATGGTTCTGCCGCGCGGTCGCCAAACCCATGCATCGGGGGAGGTGCCCTCCCCAAAGTGCGGCCGGCGCCGCCTCGCTCGGCGGCGGAACTCTACGATTTCCCATGGGAACGGGACCCGTCGCTAGTCCACCTCCTCCTCCTCCTCCTTCCCCTCCTCCTCGTGCTCCTCCTCCTCCTCCTCCTCCTCCTCCTCCTCCTCCTCCTGCTCCTGCTCCTGCTCCTCCTCCTCCTCCTCCTCCTCCTCCTCCTCCTCCTCCTCCTCCTCCTCCTCCTCCTCCTCCCCCGCCCCCCTGAATCCATGGCTGCGATCGCCCGATGCCGAGGAGCCCCGCCGCCTCCTGCGACGAGCTGCCCCCTCTCGCTTCCCCCGCGGGCTCGCCGCCGAGCGGAGAGAGAGGATCTCGCGCTCCGCGCGCCGCGGCCTGGGCCAGAAGGGCGCCGGTCTCCAGAGCAGCGGCGCGATGGTGCGAAGAGAACTTCGCGCATCGCGGATCGCGGCGCGCGAAGTCTGGCAACCTATAGCTTTCGAGCAGGAGAGTCTGTAGAGCGTCCGCAGGTGGTCAAATCAGACGTCCTGCACACCCTCCTGCTCGAGAAGCTGCACGTCGTGTGCCCTCGAGGGGCACCCTGTGTGCCCCAAAGGGGCCCCCTGGAATCCACAACGGGCCTGAAAGCTGCACGTTTCTGCACGCAATCACTCGGCGCCCGATTGAGCCCTGAGGTCCGACGTCCGGAAAAAAGATGCAGCCGCACGGTGAAACTCGACAGCGAGGGCTCCCAAGAGGCTCCCAAGAGGCCCCCTCAGAAGATGCTCCCAAGATGCCTCAAAACTACCCCCAGAGGCCTACGAGAACGCTCCGAAGAGACCCCAAGAAGAATCCCTGAGGACTCTGATCCTCGTCAGCGCCGCCGCCACCGCCGCCACCGCCGCCGCCGTCGTCGTCGTCGCCGTCGTCGTCGTCATCGTCGTCGTCGACGTCGTCACCCTTCAGGGTCGGCGGCACTGGCCGTCAGGCCTCCACGATATGCAGCACCGCAAAACAAAACTCGACCAAGGCTGGTTGAAAAAAACTCGACTGTCCAGCCGCAAATCGACAACTCTCTGTCGCTACATATATCGCTCAGCATGAGGAAAGGGGGCTGGGAAGGGGCATGCCACTCCCTGTAGAAAAATCTTGCCCCGATCTGTGGCCACCGCGATCGCCGCGGCGACCTCGAGCACCGAGCCTGTGCCTTGGTTCGGGGTCGGATGTCACGCAACGAGGGGCTCCGGACACCATCTTCCCGCTGCATGTGTCGAGCCGGATCGGTCCGAAAGGGTCCCCAAGCCGCCATGCCCGCCCCTGCGATCCTGACGTCGCATGCTTTAATCTGCTACACGCAAGAGTGACCCTGGGTAAGAGTGACCTTAGGTGCGCTGCTTTGGGGGGGCCGCGTGGGGACCAAACCTGGGCACGCAAGCCGTTGCTCCTGCTTCGTTTTCGGCCATCTGGGGGCCCATCTGTGCCCGCACCAAAGGTCACTCCGGCGAAAGGTCACTCTTACGTCTAGTCGATTTAACAACGGGCGATCTGGCCTTGTTTCGGGACCCGGGATCCTCACGGATCGATCTACCTCGAAGAATGCTGCGCAAGGATGAGGTGACGGGCTCTGGACAAGTTGCTCAACGTCGCTTGATGGAAGAGCAACGCACCCTCAAGCCTACGGGAGGAGAAATGGGAAATGGCAAGGCGCTATAGGTCTGAGTGCGGGCTGTCGGATGGGCCCCGGCGTGCAGAGAGGGGCACGGGGGCAGGGTGGCAGGCTCCTCAGAAGGAGGCTGCTTCTTAGACGGCGGCTGCCTCACGCCTATAAGTAAGGCCCGCGCCTTCTGAGGATCGGCCTCCTTCTGCGAAGCCTTCCTCCCTCGCCCCACCCCCTTGTGCGCGCCGCCAACGCTGTCCGCCAAGAGGGCGGGAGGCCATGCCCGCGCAGCCGTCCCGCATGGGAGCCACCAAGCTTGATGCCCCAAACACCCTCGAGTCCGGAAAAAATCACGACGCGCGGTTTTACTCTACTCGGGGCATCTGGGGGGCCACGGGGCCGTCAACCAACCGACTCAGGGAAACGACTCTGGCCAGACATCCGACTGATCCAATTCTTCCGATGCGTGGGCCCCAGAGGTCTGGACAACTTCCCTGGATTTCGCTGGGGCCAGTTTTTTTACTACGGCATGGGAGCAATGAACAACATCTTTCACGATACGTGATTGAAACTGATGGGTCCCCCCCCACGTTTGGCACTACTGCCATACTGCACAACACTGACGCCTTGCGCAGCACCGCAGCAGCACGACAAGTTCTTGCTATACAGTTCTGCGCTCGCAGCTGCAGGTTGTGACCGCCTCTTGCCTCACGGCTGGTGCCGACACGGTGCTGCACTCGAGCGCTCGCGCGCATCCTGAGTCGTTGTTTGACGGCCCCGAGGCCTGGCGAGGGGCCTTGGAGGCCCAAGACGGTCAACAAAACCTGCCGCCCCAATGTTTGTTGGAGCGTCGGATCTCTGGGGGACCCGCGCGTGGCCGATGAGGGTCAGCTCATGGGGGTTGCAATATGTTCGTCACGTCGGATCTCAGAATGGTGAGGGGCTAAGTTTCCCCCACCACTGCCCTGGGTAGGCGAGGAAGGAGGAGGAGGAGGAGGAGGAGGAGGAGGAGCAGGAGCAGGAGCAGGAGCAGGAGGAGGAGGAGGAGGGAGGAGGAGAGGGGAGGAGGAGGAGGAGGAGGAGGAGGAGGAGGAGCAGGAGGACCTCCCCATCCTCCCTGCCCCCCGTCGTGGTGGAACATCGGCCCCTCAGGAGGGGCGCTCGCCCCGGGCGCGCCCCCGCCTGTCCTCGTCCTCGTCGCCGCCGCCGCAGGCCTTCCGAGGTTCTCGGGCTGGGGGAGGGAAGGGGGGGGAGGAGGGGGAGGAGGAGGAGGAGGAATAGGAGGAGGAGGAGGAGCAGGAGGAGGAGGAGGAGAAGGAGGAGGAATAGGAGGAGGAGGAGGAGGAGGAGGAGGCGGAGGAGGAGGAGCAAACGACACGCAAGGAGGAGGAGGAGGAGGAGGAGGAGGAGGAGGAGGAGGAGGAGGAGGAGGAGGGGGAGGAGGAAGAGGAGGAAGAGGAAGGGGAAGGGGGGGCTTTCGCCCCGGGCCCCTTATATGTGCTCGATCGGTAGCGATGCAACCGGGCCCAGGACAGAAGAGCACCCCCCAAGGAGACGAGACCCTCCGTCGGCCAAAACAAACAGAGCATCTGAGAGTGCCCACCCCAAGATGCAAAGGAACATCCAGCAAACAAGAGCATCAATGTACCCTCCCTGAACCGACCTCGATCTTATACCTCGGCCCGACTGTACAATCATCGTGCTACCAGAAGGACCTCTGACTAAGGAACGGAAGGCTGAGGAATGACCCGAACACTGGGCCCAAAGTGGTCCTTATCTTAGCATCCTGCCTGTATGGGGGGGACTCGCACAGGGGGGACGCATCGACCTGGAATCGGCGATGCATCGCCGATAGATCGGCGATAGACTCCCGAAAACAAGTCCGCAAGTTCCTGGGCATCTTGGGGCTATCTGGGCCCCTATCGGCGATCAGTGGGCAATTGATAGGCGATGCGTCCCCCCCCTGTGTGCCCACCCATCCCCCCATATCGCTGCCCTCAATGCTCGCCTCGGCGTCGTCGCAGGTTCTCAGAGGTTCTCGGAAGCGCTCGGAGCTTCTAGGCTGGAACTCGTCGTCCTCGCCGCCGCCGTCCCCCCTCTCCCGAATCGTCGACCCCCTGGCCGTTGTATTCCCGTCCTCCTCCTCCTCCTCCTCCTCCTCCTCCTCCTCCTCCTCCTCCTCTTCCTCCTTCTCCGACAACGACGACAGCGGCGGAGACGACGGCGGCGACGGAGGAGGAGGCATAGGACGAAGTGCCGAAGAGGCGGACGAGCAGAAACGGGAGGAACGCGGAGGAGGATTCGGGAGAGAAGGAAGACGAGGAGAACTGGCGAGGACGACGACGACAAAGATCAGGACCAAGACGATGACGACGACGACGACGACCTCGACGACTCTCCGAGGGCCCGGCTGCACTGGCCCGCCTGCCAGCCGCCGCCGCCGGCGCCAGGTGACGGCTGGGGCCGCGGGATGTAGGTGACCTGGGGACGCCCCCACATTCTCTCAGATCATAGCTTGTGCGCGGCGGAAGCGAACTTCGTCTTCCTCCTCCTCCTCCTCCCTCCCTCCCTCCCTCCCCTCCCTCCTTCCCCCTCTCCTCTTCCTCCTCCTCTCCTCCTCCTCCTCCTCCTCCTCCTCCTGCTCCCTCCTCTCTCGCCCCCCCCCCACCTCATCTCTTCGTTCTCCTCCCTCCTCCTCTCCTCCCTCCTCCCTCGTCCCTCGTCCCTCGTCCCTCCTCCCCTCTCTCCTGCCTCCTCCCTTCCCTCCTCCCCCATCGCCCCTCATCCCTCGTCCCTCCTCCTCCCCTCCTTCCTCCCCTTCGGTCTCCCCCCCCCACCCCTCCAGAGCCCCCTCGCCCCCCAGTCAGTTCCCCCCCAGGCTCCCCCGGCGGCCCCCCCCCTCCCGCCTCCCCTCCCGCCTCTCTGCGGCGACCTCCGCCGTCTGGCGGCAGACTCCGTCCTCGTTCTCGCCGTGGCCGCACCAGACAGGTAGGCTGAGGTCGGGCATTTGTCCCCCTACAGGTGGATTTTGGACGAAATGTGAAACATATTCCAAACATACTCAACAATAGCAAAAAAGTGCTAAAAACATCGTCCCCAGATCATGTCTGGACTATTTTTGAAGATTCCTCCTGTAGAGGGACACGCCCGACTTCACGGCAGGAGCGCGTTGCCTTATGATCGGCGATGACGGGCGTCATGAGGGGGGGGGTATGACGTAACGCCCCCCCCCCGCCGTGTGGCTCCGGCACCACAGCCGCGCCCGCGCGCACGACGACGATGAGCGACGAGCGACGAGCGACGGCGTTGACGACGACGTTGACGACGACGACGACGCGAGCAGCATGTAGGTGGCGATCTGCCCCACAGCGCCTGTGTACACCACAGTGTTCGCGTGCACCACAGCGCTTGTGTACACTACAACGCCTGTGTACACCGCAACAGCCGTGTGCAACGCAGCGCCTGCGCAACGCAACGTAGCCAGGCTGGAACGACGAGGAGGGCCCGATTCCCACGGGCGACGCCCTCCGTCGTCGCTTTTCGTAGAGGGGATAAAATCCAACCCCATAATGATCATCCCGGCAAGCGAAGCCGTTTCGTAGACGAGCCCAGGGAAAGAATCGAACAGGGCAGGGCTGTTAACGCATATGGCCGTTTAGTAAACGTCAACTGTTGGGTCCGGACAACGCAGCAGCGCTCACTTTTCTCCATTGGGCCCACACCGCCCATCCCTTCGTTGGCAACACAGCACCGCTAGCGCGCTGCCTCAGGGTCATCACCCCATCTACGGGGTACCGTCCCAGCCCGTCTCTCTGGGGTCTGGGTGGTTTTTCCTTCCTTGAAATGCCCGAGCCGGGCACGGTCACGATCGAGCAAGATGCTCGTCGTTGCGGGTGCCCAGCCCAAATGGGGCCGCTCTCAGGGCTGCCAGAGATCGATCCGGAGACGAATATGTGCCTCCCAGGTGGGATCCGAGTAGATTTTAGTCGGGCATGTCCCTCCACAGGAGGAATATTCGAACATGAGAACAAAGAGTCTGGGGACGATGTATTGAATATGTTTTGACTATGTTGGTGCATTTCTTGGATATTTCAATTTTTTCTCACAAAATCCGCCTGTAGGGGGACATGCCCGACCTAAGAGTAGATGGGGTCGGAGGATCGCGTCGCATCGCCGATGCATCGGCGATGCGGCGCGAGGTGGAGCCCGGTTTCCTCCACGCCGGCGTCGCCAAAGCATCGCCAGCGTCGCGGGTGCATCGCCGATGCATCGGCGATGCGGCGCGATCCTCCACATCCAACTACTCGAATCCCATCTGAGAGGCCCCCAACGAAGCGAATTGCCCAAAAGGGGCCCCGGGATGGGACCGGGGACCGAGGTGAAGCGGGCTGTATAGAACCAGCCCGTGCCCTCGCCTTCTGGACGCCGAGGCAGGCGCGACCCCATGCGCACGCGATGCCACGGACACGCTCCGCGCGGGGCATCCGGGCAGAGCCGCCCGGCATCCCGTGTGCAGAGGGTCGCGGCCGGGGTGTCCAGGCCGCGGCCCCGTGGACATGATTGGAAGAAGAAGAAGAAGAAGAAGAATCACAATAATCACAACAGGCCATAGACGTAAACAATCGACGGTCCACGCGGATTTCTTGGATCTGCACCGGACCCCCCTCCCTGGCGCGCGGAGCGCGCCAGTGGCGGCGCCGGAGGCGCCGCCAGGGGGGGCCCAGCGCAGATCCAAGAAGTCCGTGCGGAGAGCAACAACTTTCTGTGTATGGTTGTTCTTTCTTCGAATGATTTTGCTTCCCACCCACGACAAGCACCGTTTGAGCGACGAGGAGTAGAAGGAGACATTGCGCACGCGACCTGGCGCGATGGCCTGCGCAGGCTGCTCGGGGCGCGCGGCGCAGCACGCGGAAGCGAGGGCGCTCGCGCGCGACCCTCGCTTGCGCAGACGACCGCGCTGCCCGTACGCAGCGTCACTTCGATGCGGTCCTTTTCGCCTCCACTGCCATGTGCTCTCGCCGACCTTCGCCTCCTCGATGGACCCTCGAGCTTCGATCCTCGAACTTCGATCCTCGCTCCTCGATCGGTCCTCGGCCACCGATTTGTCCTCGATCCTCGAACGAACCTGGAGGAGAGATGGAGGCGTGCTCTCGCCCGGGAGGTGGGCACGACAGGTGGGAGGGCCGAAGCGGTGCTCGGAGCGGGAGGCCCTGGCGACCTCTGGGGGGGGGGGGGGGGCAGTTCTGGGGCCTCCTGGGGGCCTCCTGGGGGCCTCTTTGAAGGGGCCCTGGGACACACACATAAATACACACAAATAATATGATTCCCTATATTTTCCCATATATTCTTGGTTTTTGTCCCCCCCACTTCCCATCTTTTCCCATATTTTCCTGGAATCGACGATTAATTGTGTCTGTGTGTTTTTTGCCCTCCTGACTCTTGGGGGCCTCGTGGTCGATTTGCTGTGTTGCCGTCGTGCTATTTTTTTGCGTACATCGGACATCAGGGCTCCGACGGGCGTCGAGAGATGGGGGGCGATGCGTGGGGGGGGGGGTGAGGGAAGGTGACGGGGCTCTACTGGCTCAGGTCAATCCAGACCCGGGCCAGTCAGGTCTTGCAGCATCCTGCAAGATCCTGCAAGACCCTGCAGGATCCCGACCTGGGTCAAGGCGACCCCGGCCCCGCAGGATCCTGCAAGATGCGGCGCTCTAAATGAACCCCCGCTCGCATTGGCCCCCGTGTCTCGAGCCCCGAAAAGGGGCACCTCCTGTGCTCTCGTCCGGAAGATGGCACGACGAGGGGAGGGCTGGAGCGGTGGTCGGAGCGGGAGACCCTGGCGACCTTCTGCCGCGTCTTGGCGTTGAACACCTGGGGGGAGGAGGCAGCGTCGTCGTCGCATCGTTGTCGTCGTCTTCGTCGTCGTCGTCTTTGTCTTTGTCGTCGTCGTCGTCGTCGTCGTCGTCGTCGTCGTCGTATCGTCGTCGTCGTCGTCGTCGTCGTCGTCGTCGTCGTCGTCGTCGTCGTCGTCGTCGTCGTCGTCGTCGTCGTCGTCGTCGTGTCGTCGTCGTGGTCGTGGTCGTATTGTCATCGTCGTCGTCGTATCGTTGTCGTATCGTCGTCGTATTGTCATCGTCGTCGTCGTATCGTCGTCGTACCGTCGTCGTACCGTCGTCGCATTGTTGTTGTCGTCGTCGTCGTCGTCGACGGCGTCGTAGTCGTCGTCGCAGTGGTGGACATGCACGCCACCGCAAGGAGCAGGAGCAGGAGCAGGAGGAGGAGGAGGAGGAGGAGGAGGAGGAGGGGGAGGAGGAGGAGGAGGAGGAGGAGGAGGAGGAGGAGGAGGAGGAGGCGCGCACGTTCCCCCGTCTTGATCCTGCGAAGTGCGAGCCCGCACGCCGCACCGCAGCTCGGGCAGCACGGGCTCCGCGGGCCCTCGAGCACGCAGCGGCAGTGATCGTTGTCCTCATCGTCCACCGTCTCCTCCTCATCGTTGCTGTGCGCACGCCCCTTCTCGAGGGGGCGCGGGGCGATCTCCTGTTGAAGCCGCGGCAGCATCCGCCGAGGAGGAGGAGGAGGAGGAGGAGGAGGAGGGGAGGAGGAGGGGGGGGGGAGGAGGAGGAGGAGTAGGAGGAGGAGGAGGAGAGGAGGAGGAGGAGGAGCGAGGAGGAGGAGGAGGAGGAGGAGGAGGAGGAGAGGAGGAGGAGGAGGAGGAGGAGGAGAGGAGGAGGAGGAGGAGGAGATGGAGGAGGAGGAGGAGGAGGAGGAGGAGGAGGAGGAGGGGGAGGAGGAGGAGGAGGAGGAGGAGAAGGAGGAGGCGCGCACACACACGCACACACAAACACACGTTTGGCGGTCGCGGCCTCGCGCACAACATCGTTGCGCGGCGGCCTCCGTCCGCTGCCCCCCTCCCTGCTCCCCGAGGCAGCGAACGCCCGCTGCCGAGGGCCACACAGATCACCGCCTCGGCACCGCTGCCCTCTGGTCGCGGCGAGCGTCACCGCGACCCCTCTGGCGCGCCCGGGAGCACGCCACTGTCTGGTCTCTGCTTACCAGCCTCGAACGTATCCCTATCCCTAAGATTGACACGCCAAAAGGCGATGACAATCTTAGGGGTTCGCCCTCAAACATCAGGGAATCCCTAAGATTGGCATCGTGATGAGGAGGTGCCCAGCATAGGGATAGGGGTATGCTCTTGCCTGGTAATCTGCAGGGCTCGCTGGCCGTGCTCCGATGGCTGCATGCAGGCGTGCCCGAACAGCTACAGTTTGGCGGCAGCAGTTGGCCTAAACGTAGGTCGGGCATGTCCCCCTACAGGCGGATTTGAGACGAGCAATGCAAAATAGTCAAGCGATGCTCCAAAATGGTCAACACATCCTCAACCAAATCGTCACCCGACTATTTGTTTGGACTATTTTCGAATGTTCCTCCTGTAGAGGGACGCGCCCGACTCAAGCCCAAGCCTGGGGCACTCCCCAGTCGAACGAGCCGCTGGCCGACACGACCGCCCTGCACGATTCCGAGAACGCCCTCGGCTGCTCGCGGCCCCGTTGTCCCTGGACGCTGCACCCCCCGGGAAGCGGGGCATGCTAGAGCGCGACCGCCATCTGCTACCAGCAGGGCCGGGCGAAAGGGGGGGGATAGCAAAGGAGGGGGGTTGAGAATCAGCTCACGTAACTGATTTTCCTGGCGCCTCCTGAAGCCGAGAGGCGCCCTTGTATCGAGGAATGGGCCCGGCGGCGGGGCCGAAACCAACTGCATGCAGCAGATTTCGTAACCCCCCCCTTTCCCTTTCCCGCCTTTCGTTCGGCCCGATACTATGAGGGCCGTGCACTTTGTTCCCAACCCCTTCTGTGTAAGGTTCTCGTTTTGACAGGAGCCCCGTGGTCGATCCTCCGTCTCTCTTTTCTCCGGCCTCCTGTCTCCTCTCTCCTGCCCCCTATCTCCTCTCTCCTGCCCCCCGCCTCTCTTGCGGGCTCCTGGGGGGGTCCCGCGGAGTAGAGTTACACGGAGATTCGGTTGGGACCTCGCGGCTCCCCTGGGGCCCCTGGGGGGCTGCGAAGTGCGCGCAACTGTCGCCGTTTTCTTTTCTTTTCCTCCCCAATATCCAAATCAAGCAATCAAGCAATGCTCGCGGCTACGCCTTGTCGTGCTGTCGACAGGGATAACACGAATATAACAGAGTGGACTGCGCAGAAAAGGCGATGGCGGAAGAACTGGAAGCGCACAGCAGGTCGTGCGCATCAGCGGCTGGCATTAAGAGGAACACTCACCTGCACGATGCACGCCGCCTCCTCTGGACAAACACACACACACACACCCCTCGGGAATCCCGCCAACAACTTGGTGGCGAGAAAGAATCGCAAAGTCGAGACCACGCAGGCGCGGGCCACCGGCTGGGGAGGTCAGCGACCTGGAGGCCACCCTGGCAGCGAACCCAGGCAGGGGAAATAGGGGCAGGGGCACTGGGCAGACCTCAAGGTGCACCAGGAGCTCTAGCGTACGGCCTCCAATTTCTCCACACATGCCACCCGCCTGCAACTGGAGGAACGCCACTAGCAACTGCGTCCAAAACTTCGTTGCACATGCCTTCCGCATCAGTGCAGTATTCACAGTATATGCGTCGCACTTGAACAGACTGCACTCCGACCACTTGGCGCAACCTGAAGAGAACGCAACGCGCGTTCATATGATGGTCGGAGAAGGCTCGGCCGGCATTTACAGAACGTTGACCTGGTTCACAACCAAAAGAAAGTCGCCTTGAAACACCACATTGGGCGCAAGATGTTCCATGGCATCTCGCATGCACTCGAGAAGGCCGGCATATTCCGCGCAGTTGCTGGTTGCGTCGCCCAAATCGCAACCGCAGCATGCCTCAACAGAACGGGGTCCAGGAAAATAACGCACGCAGCCACGAGAGGACTGCGGCCACATAGCTGCCCCTTGGTGTCGCGCCGCCCCGTCGGATGCATACACTACCACACCTGGTTCAAACACCGGTGCTCTTGATCGCATCTTGCGACGATCTTAGTGATATGTGTTGATGGGGCCCTCCGTAAGGCATGTCGCTTGGCATGCAGAAACATGTCCTCGACGGCATGACAGCGCCTGCCATCCAGGAGCAGACGCCGCAAGCGCACACCTGCATGTGTGAAGGCAAGGGCGCACTGCAAGGTGGACGCGCTCGGGAGTTTAACTTGGAGCCACATTTCGCTGGACGTGGGGACTGAGAACTGCGTGGGAAACTGGGCCAGAAGCGTTGCGAGCTCAGGGAACGCCTATCTGTGGCTCACCGAGTCCCCGTTGGCAGCCCCGTGGGGAGTGTCTGGCGGAGTGGAGTTGAAAACGCACCCAGTCGAGACCTCGCGGCTCCCATGCGGGGGCTGCGAAGTGCGCAACTGCTGCCACTTTCGTGGGCTCCTGGGAGGCCCAGCGGAGTGGAGCTGTAAACACACCCAGCCGAGAACTTGCGGCTCCCTGGGGGGCTGCGGGGTGCGCAACCGCCGCCACGTTCGTGGGCTCCTGGGAGGCCCAGCGGAGTGGAGCTGTAAGCACACCCAGCTGTGCCCTCGCGGCTCCCCTAGGTGGCTGCGAAGTGCGCAACTCTCGTCACTTCCGTGGGCGTCTGGGAGGCCCAGCGCGTTGGAGTTGAAAACGCACCCAGCTGAGACCTCGCGGCTCCCTGGGGTGGCTGCGAACTGCGCAACTGTTGCCACTTTCGTGGGCTCCTGGGAGGCCCAGCGGAGGGGAGATGTAAACACACCCAGCTGTGTCCTCGCGGCTCCACCAGGTGGCTGCGAAATGCGCAACTCTCGCCACTTCCGTGGGCTCCTGCGGGTCCTTCAATGTGTTCGTTTGTATTGATGGGTCCAGTGCATCGTCGCTACATCCTAGAGTAGGGCTGGTTACGTCGCAGGGTAATTCTACAAGCGCCAGAAGGTCGCCCTCGCGGCTAGAACGCAGCAGGGGAGGGGTGAGCAAGAGGAGAAGCAGAAGGAGCAGGAGCAGGAGCAGCAGCATCAGCAGGAGCAGCATCAGCAGCAGTGCGCGCTGGCCGACGCGGCCTGCCGCCGCGGCCCGGCGCCCTGCCTACCGGGGCCGTGCCCAGAGTGCCCGAGAGTCGCAGCCCTCGGAGGGCGCGAGTCCGAGGCCGAAGCCATCTCGCAGAACGCCGCGAAGCAGCAGAGCCACGGCGACGACGACGACGACGACGACGCCGAGCTGTAGGGAGCGGCTGTCGATTGGCTGCAGGAGCTGTAGGGAGCTGTGTGTGTCGAGCAGGAGGAGGAGGAAGAGGTGGAGGAGGAGGAGGAGGAGGAGGAGGAGGAGGAGGAGGAGGAGGAGGAGGAGGAGGAGGAGGAGGAGGAGGAGGAGGAGGAGGAGGAGGAGGAGGAGAAGGACGAGGAGGAGGAGGAGGAGGAGGAGGAGGAGGAGGAGGAGGACCTGCTCGACAGCCTCCTCTCCCAGTCCTCCTCGACAGCCTGACTTGCCTGCTCACCGAAAGACCACATCGACCTCTGACGCACCTCTCTCGCCGCTCCAAGGGGACCTGGCGGTCCCTCGCGGTGCTGTGCCTTGCCCTCGCCTCTCTCCCTGCTTCGGCGTTGCCCGAAGCGATCGCGCCGCAGCCGCTCGCCTCCCGCGACGCCCCTCGAGAGAGACCGGTGCGCGCTTCGATCCTGCGCGCGGCCAGCTGCTGCGGGCGCGGCGCGGCGCCGTGGCCGCGAGGCGTGCCGCCGTGGTCGTCGTGGTCGTGGTCGAGGTCCAGGCCGTGGTCGTAGCCGTCGTCGTCGCCGCTGTCGTCGTCGTCGTCGTCGTCGTCGTCGTCGTCGTCGCCGTCGTCGTCCACGTCTCAAGCCTCCAGGGTCCCGGAGCCGCCGCGCAAGCTCTTGCTGCTGGAGGCAGGCCCTCCGCCCTCCGCCCTCCTCGCGGTCCCCCATGCCTCTCCTCGTCCTCTCCTCGTCGTCGTCCTCCTCCCAGCAGCCTCGAAGTCATCCCTGGCCCTGAGATCGGCAAGCCCCAGGCCGCGACAATCTCAGGGATCTGCCCTCAGAAACTGATGGGGGGCCCTCAAAATCGACACCGAGAGAAGGCGATGCCAAACGCAAGGACAGGGATAGGTTCCAACCTGGTAACCCAGACATTGCACGTCCTGATTCTTTCAATAAGCGGTCCCCGGAATTCCTGACCCTTTCCCTGGGACCCGTTTTTCATCCCGAGTCGTTTTTTGACGGTCGCGGGGCCCTGCAAGGACCCCTCTGAGGTCGAACATAGCGAAAAACATCCCGTCGTGATTTTCACAACGCGGAGGAGTCTGGGAACCTTCCTCATCACCTTCCCCATCCCTCCCCCTCCCTCCCTCCTTCCCATCCTGCTCCTGCTGCTCCTCCAATATACCTTGACCTTCCTCTGCTCCTCCTCCTCCTCCTCCTCCTTCTCCTCCTCCTCCTCCTCTCTCCCTCCTCCTCCTCCTCCTCCTCCTCCTCCTCCTCCTCCTCCTCCTCCTCCTCCTCCTCCTCCTCCTCCTCCTCCTCCTCCTCCAGCGGCGGACGCCAGAAGAAGAAGAAGAAGCCAGGGCGAGGCAACCCAAACCCCTTCGCGTTGGGCACAACCGCGACGGGAAATGTTTCGCTATTTTCGGTACGGTCTCTTGGAGCCCTTACCGGGCCTCAGGACTGTCAAAACACAACTCAGGATGCAAACCGGCCCCAGGGAAGAGGTCGAGACCTCGGAGGGTCGACGTTGTGAAAAAATGGCGACGCCGCGGCGGCGGGCGAGGACAAATCTAGAATCTCTGGGATCTGGCGGCTCTGGAAGATTTGTGGGCGCCGCGGTCTTCCTCGAGCGTGCAGGAACGCTCTGAGAGCGTTCCCGGAACGCTCCGAACGCTCCGGAGCGGATCCGTCCTCGTCCTGGCCCCGCCCGAGCCTAGAGCCTAGGATCGCTGTGTACGCCCTCGTGGGAGGAGGAGGAGGAGGAGGAGGAGGAGGAGGAGGAGGAGAGGCCTATGCACCGACCCTCGGCCCAGGATCCGCCTGGCCAGGACGGGTGGAAGTGCATAGGGTCGGGCACCGTTCGGGTGGCGCGTCGCTCCGCCGCTCCTGGCCCACCGCGCCTCGGTGCACTGTCAACTCCCCGATCCCCCAGCGTTCGGTAGGGCATGTCCTCCTACGGGCGGATTTTGGACGAAAAATAACAATAGTTCAAACACAGTCCCAAATAGTCAAAAGTGGTCAAGCAATCCTTCCCAGACTATTCTCATACTGTTTGTAAGCATTCCCCCTGTAGAGGGACAGGCCCGACTTAACCCCAACCTCGACTCCCCGAGCCTGTCTCTCGCCCCGTCCGACGACATCCGTTCTTAGAGGCCTCCTAGATGGGGTCGGAGTAGATGGGGTCGGAGGACCGCGCCGCTTCGCCGATGCATCGGCGATGCATCGACGATGTATCGGTGATGCACCCGCGATGCCTCGTCGATGTCGGCGATGCATCGGCGACGTCGACGTGAAGCCAATCGGGCTCAACATCGAGCCGCATCGGCGATGCACCGGCGACGCGGTGCAATTCCCCGACCCAATCTACTCCGACCCCATCTATAAAACAGGGCTAGGATCGGGATAAATCGCTCTAGAGCGTTCCGGAGCGCTCTCAGAGCGTTCCAGAACGCTCTGGAGCGGCCGCGGCGCCCGATACATCCTCCAAACCCGCCGATTCTCAGAGATTTCGAATTATCCCGATCCGATTTTGTCCCGATCTTCGCGTCGTTTGACCACCTGCAAGGCTTAGAGTTCTGACTTCTTCAGCACTCTGGAAGCCCGCCTCCTCAGCCGCTCGCTCCTCCGCCGCCGACGCTCGGCGGCACCGCCCCCAGAGAGGGCCTCGGCCTTCTCAGAAGGCGGCGGGGCTTCTCGGGACACCCTGGCAAGGCCGGCCCCCTCTGCCCTTCCCTGCTGCGCATCGTCTAACCCTGGCCATCGCTCGGACGTCCAGTCCCTGTGCTTTTTTCTGTTTCGTGCGTGTTTTTTTCGCCGAGTGATCAGGGATGCTCCTCGATGGTCCCCGCCGAAGGAACAATGCACACGTCCGAGCGATGCCAAGAACCGATCCCTATCCCCACGGGTGTGGTCTGGACCCCACTGGCCGCTTTGCCCCACTGGATGGGGATAGAGGCTACCCCTCCGGGTGTCGAGGGGCAGATTCCCAACTGGGGTTGTGAGATGGTGGGGCTCGGGCTGGGGATGGGGATCGGTCAAACGATGCTGACCTGAGGCCCGACGTCACGAACAAAAAACAAACATCTTCTGCGCTTGTTTCGAGAAGGATCGGTCCGCGAGGGCCCCGGGGTCCGAAGCAAGGCGAGCGCGCCCCGCTCCCAGACAGCACCACGCCAGGACCTGAGGGGGTAGGGTAGGACGTCCTTCCGCTTCCTGGAGGAGACCGCCGGTGCCGGCCGGAACCCTGGGCCCCATCCTTCCGGGCCCTTCTTCGAGCCGCAGCGAGGCGCGAGGCCCCCGGGGCCCGAAACAAATCGGGTCGCCCGCCTCCTCCTCAGTCTTCTCCTCCTCCTCTGGGGGGCGCCCGCCTTGACGCCCGTGTCGTTTGCCCACGCGAGCAGCTGAGGCCGCGCTCGCCAGCACACCTGAGGAGCTCCGAGACCAGGGGCTGCGCCCCCGGGGGTGGCTCGCGATCCAACCGCTTATCCTTGTTCCTAGTGTCCTCCTCCTTATCCTCCTCCTCCTCCTCCTCCTCCTCCTCCTCCTCCTCCTGCTCCTCCTCCTCCTCCTCCTCCTCCTCCTCCTCCTCCTCCTCCTCCTCCTCTCCCCTCCTCCTGCTCCTCCTGCTCCTCCTCCTCCTCCTCCTCCTCCTCCTCCTCCTCCTCCTCCTCCTCATCCTCCTCCTCTTCTCCCCTCGGTTCCTGACGTCGCCATTGGTCCACAGCGGGCGGCTTCGCCTCGTCCCAGGCCCCCGGACCCTGACGGACCAGTCTGGCTCGGGAAATGCTGCAGGGAGATGGGGTCCAGGGCTCCAGTGCTACCTTTTTCGTGACGTCGGGTCTCGGCGTCCTCCTCCTCCTCCTCCTCCTCCTCCTCCTCCTCCTCCTCATCCTGCTCCTCCTCCTGCTCTCCCTCACCCCTCCTCCTCCTGCTCCACCTTCCCTTTTTCCCAACCCTCCTGTGCTGGGTCTTCGTTTTGATTAGAGCACCGTTGTCTGCATCACTCGCTCATTCACTCACTCCTCACTCCCCCCTCCTCGTTCCTCCCTCCTTTCTCCTCCTCCTCCTCCTCTTTCTCGTTTTCTTTTTCCTCCTCCCTGCCTCGTGGATTATTTCCAACCCTCCCCTGGTTGGTTCGTGGGCTCGTGGGAGGTCCAACGGAGGGGTGTCCCACGGGGACCACCGCGAGACCTCGCCCTCCCTGGGGGTCTGCGATCCGCGAAGCAGCGGAGCCGTCGCCACGTTCGTGGGCTTTCCGGGCAAGCCAGCGGAGGAGTGCCCCGCGCGGGTCGCCACGAGGCCACGCCGCCCCCCTGGGGGGCTGCGATCTGCGAAACTGTAGCCACGTTCATCCACGTTCGTGGGTTCCCGGGAGGTCCAGCGGAGGGGTGTCCCACGGGGGCCACCATGAGACCTCGACGTCCCGGGGTGGCTGCGATCTGCGAAACTGCCGCCACGTTCGTGGGTTCCTGGGACGTCCAGCGGGAGGGTGTCCCACGGGGACCACCATGAGACCTCGCCGCGCCTTGGGGAACTGCGATCTGCGAAACCGTCGCCACTTTCGTAAGCTCCTGGGCGGTCCAACGGAGGGTGCCCCATGGGGATCCCCATGATACCTCTCGCCATGAGACCTCGCCGTCCCTGAAGGACTACGATATGCGAAACTGTCGCCACGTCCCTGGGCTCCTGGGAGGATCAGCGGAAGGGCGTGGGGGGCTGCGATCTGCGAAAACGTCGCCACTTTCGTGGGCTCCTGGCAGGTCCAGCGGGGGGGGGGGTCCCACAGGGACCACCACGAGACCTCGACGTCCCTGGGGGGCTGCGATCTGCGAAACTGTCGCCACTTCAGTGGGCTCCTGTGAGGTCCAGCGGAAGGGGTGTCCCACGGGGACCACCATGAGACCTCGCCATTTCTGGGGGGCTGCGATCTGCGAAACTATCGCCACTTTCGTGGGCTCCTGGGAGGTCCAGCGGAGGGGTGTCCCACGGGGGCCACCATAAGACCTCGACGTCCCGGGGTGTCCGTGATCTGCGAAACTGTAGCCACGTTCGTGGGCTCCTGGGAGGTTCAGCGGAGGGGTGTCCCACGGGGACCACCACGAGACCTCGCCGTCCCGGGGTGTCCGTGATCTGCGAAACTGTAGCCACTTTCGTGGGCTCCTGGGAGGTCCAGCGGAGGGGTGTCCCACGGGGGCCACCATAAGACCTCGACGTCCCGGGGTGGCTGCGATCTGCGAAACAATCGCCACTTTCGTGGCTCCTGGGAGGTTCAGCGGAGGGGTGTCCCACGGGGACCACCACGAGACCTCGCCGTCCCGGGGTGTCCGTGATCTGCGAAACTGTAGCCACGTTCGTGGGCTCCGGGGAGGTCCAGCGGAGGGGTGTCCCACGGGGACCACCATGAGACCTCGCCGCCCCTGGGGGGCTTTAATTACTGTCATAGCGCGCAGAGAGCTGTCCTGCAACGCGAACACAGCGTAAGGCGCTGCTACTCCCACGAAGTATGTCTCCAATTGTCCCTCCTCTGCATGTTTCCACGCCCCCTCGTGGTCGCTATCCTGCCAACGGCCTGACTCTTAAGAGTGACGCCGCATATGTAAAACATCTGACTCTGGCCCGACGTTCTTTGGCGAAGCGTTCAGGGGTATCGCGGATCATTCAATGATTGCTTTTGTATTGAACGACCCGAGGTACTCTCGGCACATGCTCAAAAGGGTTGGGTACGTCCCCAGGATCAATTCCCGAAATGCCAGATCACTAAGCTCGGATGCCCGGCCCGCACACCGACCCCACCTCTCCTTAATTACTGATCTGGGGGGAAGTGAGAAGGGGCGGGCCTTTTCAAAAGGCTTGGGCCTTCTGAGAAGTTCTCTAAGCCTTCCCCGAAGACACAGAGAGCCTCTCAGGAGGCGCGAGGGCATTTGAAAAGTCCCGCCGCCTTCTGGGAAGGCCCTCTCTGCTCACTTCCTCCCCTCACTCGCCGCCGACCCTTCCTCACGGGAGGCCCGATGCTTCGCGAGGACTTCGCCGACCACCCCTGGCAGGAGCCATTGCGCAAGGCCTTCGCGCCATGCGGCGTGGGCTCGGTGTTTTCAGACCGTGTGGACTGGGTTCTGTCCCGTGCTTCCACGTCTGAACGCCCTCCACCTCCTCCCTTCGCGCGCCCGCCCTCGTCTTCGCCTCTTTCTCTCTCTCTCTCTCTCTCTCTTTCTCTCTCTCTCTCTCTTTCTCTCTCTTGCACGCTGGACAACTTGCCATCGGTTCCGTTCAGCCCCACGCTGATGCGGACTGCCTCTGCCTCGCCGCCGACGCAAATTAGCCTGACGAAAGACCCAACCACATGTAGCTGCGAGTATCGCATTGTGGATACCGCTTTCGTTGGAGCTCCGTAAGGGGCCACGAACCGTGTGCGGGGCGTGCCGAGTTGGGCGCGGTGGTGCCATGCGAACCCTCCCACTGTAGCCTTCGGTAGCGCATCCTCTAGGGCCCCGAGACGTGTGAGGGGGAGTACCGAACTGGGTGCGCTGGTGCCATGCGAACCCTCCGACTGGAGCCTTCGGCGGAACTCCCTATGGGGCCACGAACACTGTGATGGGTGTGTTGGATTGGGCGCGGTGGTGTCATGCGAACCCTCCCGCTGGAGCCTTCAATGGAGCCCCCTATGGGGCCACGAACCGCGTGAAACGTGTGCCGAATTGGGTGCGCTGGAACTTTCGGTGGAGCTCCCTATAGGGCCACGAACCGTGTAAGGGGTGTGCAGAAATTTGCATGCGGTGGGGGGGAGGGCGCATGCGGACGCGACCACTGGGGCCTTCGGCGGAGCTCCCTATGGGGCCACGAAACGTGTGAATGGTGTGTCGGAATGGACATGCGGCGGGCGGGGAGGGCGCATGTGGACACGGCCACTGGGGCCTTCGGTGGAGCCCCCTGGGGGCCACGAACCGTGTGAGCGGTGTGACAGAATGGACATGCGGTGTGAAGGGAGAGCGCATGCGAACCCTGCCACTGAAGCATTCGGTGGAACTCCCTTTTGGGCCGCGAACCGTGTGAAGGGTGCGCCGAAATGAGGGTGGAACCGCATGCGAACCCTGCCACTGAAGCATTCGGTGGAACTCCCTATGGGGCCATGAACCGTGTGAGGGGTGCCCCGAAATGAAGTTGGAACTGCATGCGAACCCTGCCAATGCGGCGTTCGATTGAGTTCCACATGATTAGGGGAACAAGGTGACATAAACATAAAAACTCTGAGGTCCGCGCGGATTTCTCGGATCGGCGCTGGACCCCCCTCTCTGGCGCGCGGAACGCGCCAGGGGCGGCGCCAGAGGCGCCGCCGGGGGGGCCCACCGCCGATCCGAGAAATCCGCGCGGACCTCCGAATTTTATGTTTATGTCACTTCGTGTTCCGCTGATGATGCCACGAACCGTGTGAGAAGAACGCCAAACATTGGGGCGGAACTGCATGCGAATCCTGCCGCTGGGGCCTTCGGTGGAACACCCTATGGGGGCACGAACCGTGTGAGGCGTGCGCCGAAATTAAAAAAGAACTACATGCGAACCCTGCCAATGGGGCCTTCGATGGAACACCCTATGGGGCCACGAACCGTGTGCGAAGGGCGCCGAAATGAAAACGGAACTGCATGCGAACCCTGCCACTAAGGCCTTCGGTGGAGCTCCCTATGGGGCTTCGAACCGTGTGAGGGGTGTGCCGACATACTGGTGGAACTGCATGCGAACCCTGACAATGGGGCCTTCGATGGAACTCCCTATGGGGCCACGAAACGTGTGAGATGTGCGCCGAAATGAAAGTGGAACTGCATGCGACCTCTGCCTCTGAAGCATTCGGTGGAGCTCCCTATGAGGCCATGATCCGTGTGAGGGGTGCGCCGAAATGAAGTTGGAACTGAATGCGAACCCTGCCTCTGGGGCCTTCGATTGAGCCCACTATGATGCCACGGACCGTGTGAGAAGAGCGCCGAAATGGGGGCGGAACTGCATGCGAATCCTGCCGCTGGGGCCTTCGGTGGAGCTCGTTATGGGGCCACGGAACGTGTGAAGGTGGAACTGTATGCGAACCCTGCCACTGAAACATTCGGTGGGGCTCCCTATGGTGCCACGAACCGTGTGAAGGGTGCGCCGAAATGAGGGTGGAACTGCATGCGAACGCTGCCAATGCGGCCTTCGGTGGAGCTCCCTATAGTGCCACGGACCGTGTGAGAAGGGCGCCGAAATTGGGGCGGAACTGCATGCGAATCCTGCCGCTGGAGCTTTCTGTGGATCTCCCTATGGGGCCACGAACCATGTGAGGGGTGCGCCGACATGAAAATAGAACTGCATGCGAACCCTGCCTCTGGGGCCTTCGGTGGAGCTCCTTATGGGGCCACGAACCGTGTGAGGGCGTGCATGAAGGGGCGGGGAAGGATGACGA